AGTTTTAAGCGAATTACGTAACTTCGCTAAGATATTGAGAGGAAGTCCTCCTATAATATGTTTTACTGCATGTTTGCCGTCCAGAGAACTGTCTTTTTCAGTTACATTTAGATGAATAATTTCTGCAGAATTATGTAACCACTCTTTGTAGAAGCCATACTATGAAACTCATTTGGTAACTATGAAATCAAGAAGAGAGATTCCCAGTGGGATTTTAAAAAATGTATTCATTTGTTAACAGAACTCATATAAAACACGCTTAGGATGAGGGCAATGGTAAACGTATAATTCTAGCACGCTTCAGAGATCTAGCCTCCTCTCAAATAATTTTTAAAGAGAAACAGAGAGAAAAAAAGGGGAGAGGGTTTTTCTTTTCCCCGTTTACCATTGAAAAAGCTCTTTAGTAGCAATGTTATTGTGAAAGAGCCATGAAAAAAAATTTTTTTTTTTGGTAGGCAGAAATTCGATAAAGAAATGCCCTCTCTTTCTCTGTACTCATCTCATATGAATTGTGTTGGAAAAGTGAATCCATCTGATGTTATTAGATTGTTATTCAATCACTTTTATACTTCCTTATAATAGTTAAAATTCAATACTTTCTTCATTCTTAATTTTATGAATCGTTGTCGATTTGCAGAGTGGAAGTGTTCATTTAAACAGTTGACAAATTTTTGCAGAAAAAAATAAAGAAAACCTCGATTTGTTGTGGCAGTGAAAGAGTTGTAGCATGATATGAAAGGACGATACATATTCCAGAAGCTGTTGCGGATGGGCTACAGAGTCTTTAAATTTGACGCTGAGAGCTATTAAATTCGAATTCACTGACTTTTGGTGGGGTAAATACTGGTAACCCAATCACATGGACTTACTTTCATGAAACCGAGGGATAACTTCATCATTGACATATGAGACTACGGAAATCACTGTTCTCTTGATCATTTGATGTGGTAGTAGCATGTCGAACTTGTCATGAATCCTTCTATGTTTTCCTATCCATCAATAATTAACTGTTCTCGCTTGATAAGTAAAGATTGAAATTAGAAGGGAAAAAACTTGAAATTGAGGAATGATAAATTTGTTGTTAAAATTGATTGTGTCATTTGGTTTCGTAACTGAGTGTAACGAAAGAGACCTTTAAGAATTTTTTTAAGTATAGATATCATTAAGCTTTCCTCCTCATGGTTTTTACTTTTTCCTTCTTTTTCTCCTTTCTAATTATTTGTCTCCACTAGAGTAAAAGAGCAAATTTTTCGTCTTCGAGTACAGAAAAATTTTTTGTTGGAGTTTTATTTTCTCTGACGTTTCTATTTCTACTTTGGCTTTTATTAGTATCAAGCGAAGAATACAAGCACAAATCTTTATTCCTAGCATCAATGTGCCATCAGTTTACTGTCACTGCTGTGAGTTTCTTCCCTTGTGTTGGAGCTGCTGTTTCCATTTTTAGCGATAATTTTCCCTATCAAAGATTATCGCAAAATTCAGCTGATATTAATTTTATTCGGCGAAACAAAGTGAGTATAAATTGTATATTACTGAGCGAAAAAGTTTTATTGCTCGCCTTTTATATCTAATTTTTGTTAGAAACCTGAAAACTTCTGAAGCTCACCATCTACTATGAAAAGTTCATGTTTCCTTCCCTATAAAGTTTTAAATCAATGAACACCTGGAAACTTAGGCATCGTTTTTCAGGAAAACAGTGATCTTGGTATTGATTTATCGGAAGATGAGGAGCTGAGGAGTGCACTAGATATGCATCAATTGATCAGTCAGCGTGGTCCTTTGTCAGAGTCACCTCCACAAACTGCCGACGAGGTGATTGAAGAAATTGACCAAATGCTTCAGGTAATTTTACACTTTGCTCAACATTTCATTTATTGCTATACTGTTTGAACATGTTCGGTACACTTGTTATACAAATGACAGAGATTAGCTGAAATTTTCAGTCGTGTGATTTTTCGGGATCGGTAATGACTGATCGTACAATGGAATCGATGGATAGCATGTATTCGTCAATGCGTTCACCGTTACCAAATGGACAATACGACATGGATATCAAACTACGACAGGCCGTTGCCATTACGTCGAATTCTGAAAGTCAGTACAAATGTTAACAGAAGAATGTATAAGATCAGTACTGTGTAATTTGCTGACCTAACCAAATTATTGAAATATTTGAACAATTTGTTCGATACTCATTTTGCTGAAATTTCCAAACTGTTAATAATAGATTATTCATCATTTTTTAGTGTTGGAAGGTAAGTACTTTTGAATGGGATGAATTTCTAACTGTTGTGAAAAAGAATGAAAAGCATCCTGCTATATTTAAACAGTGGCAAATCGTTTTTTTTTTTTTCTTTTTCGACTTTTTTTCTTTTCAATTCAAGGATGGAACTTTCTTTGCTCTACTTACTGAATGCAAAATTTTTGAATGCATGACCTTTCCTTTATGTCTTTAGCGCTCGGATGTGCAGTATTTACTCATTTGTCATTGTCGTTTAAAGCTCATAACTTATGTTACTTTTCAAGAAAGAACGCTTTGGAAAACAAAAAAAAATTACAATTTTTAATTTTTTGTCGTCGTTGTGGCAATTCTTTTTTGCGTGGTATTAAACTTCGTAACTCGCTACTTTCCAGTGCTTTGCTGTATTTCTTTGTGTTTTCGTATATAAAATTGTAATTTCCGAAATTGTTTCCTACTAAATCTTTACAGCGATCTGTTTGAAGTTTAACTATTTAAAATTTCAGATCTGGAATCATTTTCCTATAGCAGGTTGCTTGCTCTGAGTGCTGAAATGGAGCAGCTTATACAAGTAAAAATTAATATTAAGTTGATTTATAATGAAATCAAATTAATATAATACTTCACAAGGAAATAATATCTGTGAAAGTATTTGTCCAGCTCTTGAGTATGTCAGAATTTTTAATTCATTTTTCTGGGAATAGAATTAAACAATAATAGCATGCATCGTTGTTAATCTTACACGTTTTCTTCCATTTAGCGTTATTTTCTTCAGGTCTACAATGACAGTTTGGTGGAGCAGTTGGCGCATCGTGATGAGTTAGAATATGAGAAGGAAATGAAAAATACATTCATATCGTTGCTTTTATCTATACAGAACCGCCGAAGACACTTCACTAATGAACGAAAACGTAAACCGTTGAAAACTGACCCGTCACAATTGCCACAGGTTAAAAATTAGATTTGGATAAGATTTGTATGCAAGCATGTGTTACAGAATTAATCGAATCTGTAAATTTATGGGTTAAAGTTTCTTGCTTTGATTTTAAAGAGGTCTAGATGTTTAGAGTTTCGTGCTCTTAGTTTGTGTCGTACGCTCAATTTGAAAAGGGAAGTTGCATCAGTACTTTCTTGTGAAATTTTCTTTTGTCATTGTAATAGGGCATTTTACATAACTTGTACGCAACTGGCCAAATGATTCTGATTTAATTGTTATGAAAATCGTTTCTAATGTTTAATGTTGATTTGAGGATTTACTATATGATCATCTCAAGGCAAACGTCTTTGAATTAAAAATTAGAATATCATTTTTTTGTAGTATATGACGGCGACAATTCCATACGATGAAAGTTGTCTGTATGTAGACATGAATACATTGATGGCGCTCATCAAATGTGATTATTTTAACGTTCTTTAATCTAATTATTAAAGTAACACTATTGTTCAATGTAGCGTCTAACGGTGACATTAATTGTCAAGCAGTTCCAATATATTGTTGGTTGAATTATCGATGGTTTAGCCTTATCAGTGTTCACTGGCAAAAGCAATATGTTTTAGCTGGAAACAAATATTTCTGTCCTGTCTTTATCTTTAAAAACAATTTCAGTATTGCGAGCAATTGATGAAGACAGTCCTGCTGTACCAAGCATGCTCACTGACTATATCTTAACTGGTAACATTTCCGATTGTCATGAAATTCGATTTTTTCTATTACTGCATTGCTTTGAACATTTCTAAATATGTTTTGATTATCACATCACTTCGGATATTCTTAAATTGATTTTCCTGAGTTCAGCTTTTTTTCCCAACTAACAACTGTGTAGTAACGATGGTAAACAAGAGAACTATTTCATGTGGCAGCAATTATTGGAAGGATAGACCGTTTATTGTGGATTGTTTCAGTTCTATGCCCGTCAGCGTCATCATCAGTTATCACTGATTTGGCTGCATAAAATGAATTAAACTAACTGAAATGACATCGCTGCTGTATGTTGAAGTATGGTTACAGCTCCTGCTCCTGCTGCTTTTTACATTTCTCTGTACATCCGTATACCATAACAGTGCGTCCAATTTTCTTTTTTTTTTTTTTTTTTTTCTTATCTATTTGGTAATTTATACCTACTTCACATTTTCCGATCAAAAATTCTTTTTGAGAATGCTTGTTGACTGAGATTTTGGAATTTTAAGACGGAAAAGACATGAAACATCCTTGAATTTCCAGTTCTTTCAACAGGAAACTGTATCTTGTCCCATAAACTTTTACAATACAAAGTTCCCTTAAAATTTGCTTCGAATGTACAATGTGAGTGTATTTTATGTAATTTCCACTTTTCAATAAGCACATTAAAATCATATTACTTAATTGCATAAGTATTGCTTTACATTTTCATGTATGCGTTTTGTATGAGTTTGTTATTGTCTTCATATTTACATTATCGATCTCAACTCGTAAAAAATATAATCGGAATGGAACTGAGTGCCTTCAAAAGTAATGAGTTCCGACTTCACTAAATAGTTGAGTGTTTTATTTCAAAAATTTCAAGTAGCAATTCCAAAAAATTTTTCAAAAAAATCTTGAGCTAAATTATTACTGAAAACATAATGCATGCATAGAGTAGATCTAAGCATAAGTATATTTTTCTAGTAAAAGATTTAATGTTAATAGAATGCCATTGAATTTTGATTTGCTAGCATAGTTTTATAATTACAAATGTACTGCCTCGTTGTTCCTTTATTCCAAAAAATATAATTGCATCACGGCTTATGATTTAAGTGAAATATTACGCCTTTCTGCTGCTTCTGCCGGCGTTTCGCAAGGCATACCTAGATATTTCCGAAGATTTGAAGAAATATCGACGCCGATAGGACATCGTGACGAAACAAAGATATCTGTAGGTATTTTATCAGGTGTTATAACGGAAACTGTCCTGAAAAAGGTTTCGGAAATAACTGAAAAACTAAAGAAACTTTAATGGAACGATACACAACTAAGAACTGATGGATAAATTTAATTGGGGAGGAATTCATCTCTCATGGAACTGAGATACTTAAAAATAAGTGCTGCATTAACAAATGCCACACACTGCAAATAACAACTGATTGTATAAACTCAAAATTAGAATGGATTAATAGTTTCAGTCAGTTGTCCAGCTTACACTTCTCAATTATCGATAGTTCAATCCACTTATTTCTGGCAGTTTTGCTGTCCATCCAAATGTGAAACTTGCCGTTTTGCTAGCAATTGTATACCATTCCATGCTATCATTTCTGCATTGTCGCAACAATAAAACTGTGAAGGAGCATAGACACTGTAGCCAAGAGGTTCACAAACATTATTAAATCTAGCTAATATATATTTGTTGGAAGCAACACCGCCAGAGACGAAAACCAAACGATTACGGGATGGGATCTGCAATGGTGGAATAATCCAATTAGTTTAAAAAAGGATAAAGTTTTGGAATGAAATCAAATAGTTCCAAAGAATATCACTCATAGTAAAATCATGAAGCTCTGAATTAGGTTTAATGACATCATGCAAAAATGCCATTTTGTATCTGCACATATATAAAAAGTACTTTAAATGAAATAAAACCTTATTGGAATCATTCAAGTATTGTAGACAACAGCTTAATTTCTCAGCCAAATAGTTCGCGATGGAATGCTGAAAATATTTTCTTTGAACAACGCATGCCAACTAGTAAAAGTCTCTTGCAATCTTCTACAACAAACAAAAAAAAAGCCAGGAAGTTTTGAAACCCATGGATTACTCAGATAGCAATACCTGAACGCTTGCACAAAAATCAGGGACACTGAGAATGCTCTGCCTCGAAATCATAGCCAGGTACGTGGTCTTGATCCATGAAAAGTTGAAGTGTAAAGCCATTTTCATAAATTTGTTTACATCGATTGGATACCGTTTGTAACCATCCACGGACGATCTAAATACAAGCTCCTCAGTTGAAAATACTGCCTAATTTGCAGAAATAAATGAAATTCGCACCTTGACGCTATCACTTCAAGGGCAGCTCCCGGATGTAAACCAAGCAACTCCGGTTCCTCGAAATGAAGTGCTCGACTAATTTTATCCATGCATTCGCCAGGACTACCACACATACTGGTCAGCAGAACTTCAAAGTCGTCCGGTCCATTAGTTACAGCTATTATTGAGTGCCCACCAGAAATCAGAACAGACACATATGGATAAGGTATTTCTGTCATCAAAGTAGCCACCGTTGCATGTGCTTGCATGTGATGAACTGGTATAAGCGGTATGCAACCTTTTCTAAAATATATGCAATAATGCTTTAGGATGAGGAGCTTCACAATGTCTCCAAAAAGACCACAATCAAAAAAAAAGAGATGTATTAACAAGGTTTATACTATGTTTTAAAGTCAGGAAAATCCATGCATATTACGATATACCTTGCCAAAGAGATAGCTTTTTCGGTACCAACTCGAAGACAGATGACCAGACCAGGTTGTGTTGTCACCGCTATACCGTCCAGATTACAAAGTCTCACTCGACTTTCATCTAAGCATTCGTCAACAAACAGATCGATGTACGAACGGTGCTATAAATACCGCATAATAACACTGGAAACACAAGTAACTGATACGCAAATTATCTATAACTACTTCGTTTTGAAACATAAAAATGTTCCAAATGGCTATCAACTTGGATTATCATCTGGAATCTCAATTATCATTTCTTCAGTTCAAAAAAAAAAGAAAAAAAAAAAAAGCTCTCCAACAACTTAAAGAATACGAAGCATATCAATCGAAATAATGAACCTGGTCAGCCACTGCAGCTGGACAAATTCCACCTAGTCTTTTCTGTACTTCGCGATCTGCATAGCGACGAGAACTGAGAATCTTCCTGTCACTGTTCAAAATACATACTGCCGTATCATCACAACTGACCTCAAATTTATTATCACAGATTTAAACTAAAGACTGCAATCATTTAAAAGAAGCTATAGAACCGTAGAACATGCAGATGTATTACTATGATTATATTCTCTTCAAGTGCAATTTACTGTAATCTAATTATCAGAGGCTAATTTTCTAGAAATTTATGTTAACTGAAAAAAAAAAAACTGCCTGGTTTCGATGCCCATAACAGTAACAACTCTTCTGCAATGCGTATAGCGTAAATTTGCGACGTTATAGCGAGTCGAAATCATTCTGCACAGAGTCCTGAGATGTGTCCGTTTCATATCCTGAAATGCAGTGAAACACCTAGCAATGCGACAGTGGCATAGTGTCTCCGAACCGTCCCGGGACAGACTCCCTAAATTGTTACTGAAGGTCGCTTCCTAAATTGTCAGTGGAGATTGCTTGTAGTGGTGCCATCTTGTGCGGCGCAAACGAGGAAGACAACTGCAGTTTTCTGTCCAATATCGCCCGACACTTCCACTTCTCGATGCACGCCACCTTTACTTCAGGGTCGTTGGTACCAGTTGTTCTCTTGACTTGGAACGTTGCCACTTCGTAACATTGTGGATGCACTGCCTCACTTCTTTGCGTTTACACTCATTACGTACTGTCTTACGTTTGTCCTACGTCTAAAGCAGTGCACTCTATTTAATGCCTTCTCAAAGTACCACATTTGCATACTCTTTGATTAGTACTCTTTCGTCTGCTCCTCACTTTCTTGGCACTTCTCCTCGTCAGAGAGTGAGCGAGGGCTTATCCTGCTTTGAAATGGTCTGAAGAGCGTGTGCGGTTGCGTTGCGGGTTTGCTATCGTTGTAAAGCATTTTCCTGTTGCAGAATACTTCATTGTCCTCATTGTCGGCTAAAATGAGTAACATGAGCGCGCGTGTTTACGTGGGACGTCTGTCTTACAGAGCCTCCGAGCGTGACATTGAGCATTTCTTCCGTGGTTACGGACGCATACGTGATATTGTTCTGAAGAATGGTTTCGGTTTTGTGGTAAGTGGTTGTGGATCCTTTTTGTAGAGTGACATGTTCTCTTCCTTCTGTCATTCCTTTGATTATTGCTTTATCAGTGATCAAGCCGCCATTTTCGAGATACATACTTCGTTAAATTGCAGGAACTGTGTTTAATTTCACTTGTTTTTTAATTCATTAATTTGATCAAGAAAACAATAATTTTTGAAAGGCGTAGTTAAAGCAGCTGTTTCTTCTATCGTTTCTTTTTCTTATCCCATATATTTAATAGAAAAACTGAGATCTATACCTATATCGCATAGCTCAATTAGCTTCATATTGCTTTATGCACAACACGTTTTCAAAAATATTATACGTGATAGAATTTAGCTTGTTAGTTTAATGCTGATATTTCTTTTATCGAAGATGTTTGACTTATGTAAACACATAGTTTTTAGGCTATTCACAAGTTTGACTTCCTAGGTAGTGATATATATAATAAACATTACTTTCTAGGTATTGATAGCCAAAAGCCATATGTCACAGCAAGCCAGTTTTCATATGATGGTGATATATAGAATGTAATGAGCTTGCAGTCAAAAAAAAATATACCTGTTATATGGTTGCATGTCATCTCAAAACATTACAGTCATTTTGTTTTTCAATAAGATGACTGTAATGTTTCTGAGCAGTTCTTTTTTAACTTGAGAATTGTTACTGAACAATAGAATTTCGTTGACTCATTCCTACTGAATAAGCAATTTGGCTTTTCTTTTTCACTCGCAGACTCATTATTGTGGTTATGAAAACTCTGTCTGACCGCTGTTTAGTAAATATTACTTAGTTTCTTTTGCGACTTTCAAATCTTACTGGTAACGATTGCATCTGAAACATCTGTTTAGTTCACAAATCATGAACTGTCAGTCGAATGTGAATGTTTCTCTTAAATAAAGCACACTCGAAGTGTGTTATGATGCCATTAAATTCGATGAGTAGATGCCCGTTTTTTGGATTCCTTTAAATCAATTCTTCGATTTATACAGAAGTATTTCTTGAAGGGCAGTTTTCATCAGCTAGCCAAAATTAACAGGTTAGATTATGGTTGCACGTTCAAGATTGTTTTTCTATTGCCTAAATTTGAATTTAGAAAAGCAGAGAACAATCATTATAGGAATTTGATGATCCGCGCGATGCAGACGATGCAGTATATGAGTTAAATGGGAAAGAATTATGTGGTGAACGTGTGATTTTGGAGTTTTCACGTCGTGGACCTCGAAGTCGTATGGGATTTGGCGGTTTTGATCGATTTCCTCCGCCGAGACGTGAATCAAGGCTAGTGTATTTGAATTTTGAAAAGCACAGATACTCGTAGTTCTATCGGTTTTTCTGGTTTTGTGAATTAGTCTATGTTACGTGAATTTTTTTAATTCCAAAATAGTTTTTTCAGATATGGTCCACCACAACAAACACGCTATCGACTAATTGTTGAAAACCTTTCGTCTCGTTGTTCGTGGCAGGTGAGATAACGTAATGTTGGGACGTTGTTTACGATCACCTGATGCATACGTCGTTGTTTGAGGGTGATGTGTATGTAAAGGGAAGGTGACACACCACGCACTGGCGACGAAACCTGTATAGTTACCCGATGGATAAGCAGAGAAAATGGCCAAATTTCAGCTCCTTGATAACACCTTTGCTTGAGGTGTTGCTGATATATGGAAAGATAGAAATCGGAAAATATTTAGTTTTTTAGCTTTTTTTTTTTCTGTTGCATCGAACGCGCGTTGTTTGGACAGCCTTATGAAGCGCGTTCGATGGCTACGTAATTCTGTTCATGAAGATAAGGCCGAAGTGAAGGCACCCAATTGGCCAGGAGGTAGTCGCGAGCTGGTGCAGCTCAAAATGGTTTATCGTTGGTGCGTAGGCGTCTTGTTATTGGTGCGTTTGGGCCCGAGCTCGTGGTTCGGTGCTTGTTTCGTTTCGTTCTGATGTCGCAGGTTGAGGCTAGTGGTGGTATACTGCCGCATCGTGAGGGCCACATCAGAACATGATCTGGTCAGTTCTCTAAAAATAAATTCGATCTTTCGTATCGCTGAAACAAAAGGTGTTTGACATTTACCAAAATAAGTTTATTGGATGGTAGTTTTTTCTCTTTTTTTTGACGATCGCATGTTGCTTATGTCTTCGACATTTTCTTGCGTCCGATTTGGCATCAAAAATCTGAGGTAAGAAAGATCAGTTGCTACAACAAGAAAATATGAGATTGTTCGCATGGAAATAATGTACATTAAGGGAAGATTATATATTTAGGAAGATATCTTGGCACTCGGCTCAATTTTTGAGTAAGGAAATATAGTGATATAGAGGTTTGGTGGTTGGCGATGCTTTGCTTTGCTCTTTGAAAGCAAAAGGTATATGGTCTGTTTCCTATGTATTCCTTTGTCAATCCTTCCGTTTGATAGCGGTAATGTTTTGCAGGATCTCAAGGATATTATGCGAACCGCTGGTGAAGTAACATTTGCAGATGCGCACAAGCAACACCCAAATGAAGGGTAAGATCTTTTGTCTGTTTTCCTTCAAAAGATAGTTGAATGTCTGACATCTTGCAAAACTTTCTTATTTTTCTTACCGAACACTGCATTTCTCAGGATTGTATGCTTTTTAACCCGAGATGATCTTGAAAGAGCGCTTGACAAACTGCAGGGAAAGGAAGTGAATGGACGCAAACTGAAATTGATTGACGATTCAGAAAGACGAGATAGTCGAAGGTAAGGATTTTTTTTTTTGATTTTTATAATTTGTGCTTCTTTTGCCAGTTTGGTTTCCCTTATTAAGTAATCAGTTTAATACTTACAGTCGTTCCCGTTCTCATCATCGTTCTCATTCTCGCTCACGCAGTTCGCGCAGTCGATCATCACGTTCACGCACTGGTTCGAAATCGCGCTCGCCTACACCAAAGAAGGAAGGCGAGGGTTCTAAATCACGTAGCCGCTCTGGAAGTGCATGTTCTCGTTCTCATTCGCCGGAGAGAAATGAATCCCAGACTGGTGCGACAGTTACCGAGAATGGTGGTGGTGCTGAGAATAGTTCTATGGTTCCTGAGGCCAATGATGAGCCTATGAAAGATGAAAGTCCGGCTCCCAGTAATAATGATTACAACTGAACATATTCCTAAATTTTTATTGGTGTTTAAGTTTTTATTAGTATTAACACATTATTGATTTGGTTTAAATTCTACTAAATTTATCTAGTTTCTGTTTCACGTGTTGAGCATGCTTTCACGATGATTTAGATCAGGCAAAGTTTGTAATGCTCTAGCACAAATAGCGTATTTTTCTGGATGCTTTCCAAATAGGTTTTGGAGATCTTAGCGCGTGAGCTTTCGGAATCTGGAACATTGAGCAGTCACCTCTGTTTGCAAGATTTTAAACTGAAGATCTCATTTCCTGATAAAAATGAATGACATGCTGTAATTTACTGCAGCGGTTGAATTTTCGAAATGTTCTGATATTTGGATATTTCATTAAAATCTGAGAATGAAATACTTTTATCTATAAATTGTTTAATTTGCTGTGGTTGTTTTGCTTCCGATAAAAATACAGCTATAGAGCTGTGATACGATAGCGGTAGAATAACAGCAATTACTAAGTATCATTTTTTCATGTTTGAGATTATTGCATGCTGTTGTTATTTCTGCACAGTTAAGGATTTAAGTTTTGCATTTTGTATTTGTCACCGAAGATGTAGAGAAGATTCTTCAGTAATCAGCTTTGTTACATTAAAAGAAATGTGTTGTTATTTCCTTGTTAATTTATATTCAGAATTTAGGATTATGAAACTGTTGCATGCTTCGCTACCGTCTTCATAAATGAATTATATTTTTATGTTTTAAATAAACTTTTGTCTCAGGATTTTGTTGCATTCTTTTAATGGATATTAAATATATGGAAATGATTAGCTTTGATGCGTATCACAAATTGGAAGATAATTTTAAAATGAATGCAAATTGCGCTTCATTATATAGGTGGGGTAGGTGTGGGAGTCGCGCATTGCTATTTTCTTAAGTCACGCTGGCGTGAATTGTTTCTTTAGGTGGGTTGAAATTCGATTTAATGGGTGATGAGGACGAAATACCTGATTTTAGGCTGGGGAAGGTTCGTTATGTTCCTGGTAGTTTTGATTGTTTATTTTTTTAGTTTTGATTTTCTAATGATTCGTGAGCACTGTTGTACCACTCAGTTTCTAATTTTGTATCAATTTTTAGCTTTAATTTTTCGAATGCAACGATCTTTCAGCGAATAATATTTGAAGTTGGTTAGCATAACTTCCATTTAATATTTTATAATGTATATTCAATTGTAAGGAATTTGGTAAAGAATCGTCGGATAAAAAAGTGAGAATGAAGCAAATGATTATAGTGTATTATCATATATCACACTAAAAGATAGTACTAATAAGGTCAGATGTTATCACATAATTAGGAGGGCTAATATTATGGCTTTATCAGCGATATAACTACCGTAGGGGAAGTACGGTATGCGCTTTCTGCGGCAATTTTAATGAAGCAGACGACATTAATTTTTATGTGCATTTATTTTAATATCTTGCAAATTAGGTTATCCAAGGACAATGGAAAATAATGGAAAAAATTGGAGCAGGTGGTTGTGGTGCGGTTTATGAAGTTACTCATGTTAAACGGAAAAATTTTGCAGCAGCTCTTAAAGTAATGCATTTTCCAAGTAGAAATCAAAATTCTAGAAAAAGCGAAAGGTTTTGGGAAATGAAATAAGGCGGCGTAAGCTTTGGATTAATAGGGCATTAAAATGTAATATTGGAAGCAGCATGGCTAAGTATCTCCTCTAAATGACCGAGAACTTTAAGGTCGAATCAACAGCTCTACCAGATGGAGGTGTATTGAAATTGGAAGCTTACGTCCTGGGAAAATTGAGTAGTGCCACAAAAAATACTATCCGCTTGTTACATTCTGGAAAAAGACCCAAATACAGGTTATTTTCAGTTCAGAAAGATGATTCATGAATATGGCCTAAATTCACGTAAACTTTGATCTTACTTCCTCTTAAAACATAATAGCCGTTACTCGGAAAATGTTCAAATGTTTGGAATAAGTTTAGTGAATACAGCATTATGAGTTTTTGTTGCCGTATATTTTACGATTGCACCATTTTGTGCAATTTCATTTGGAGGATATTTTTAGTGGAATCCTATTTCTGAGAATTCGTTAGAATCTTGAGCTGTACAAATCTAATTATACAGTGTTAATAAGTTCATCATCATATTTATTGATTGGCATAAAATTTACTTCAATATTTACCTGAAATCTTTGATAGAAGCGCTAATATGCCTAACAGTGAAATTGTAATTTGAAATAAAACTCTTCAATATAAAAATGAATTTACTATATTTGATTAAAATTTGAATAACTCTCAAAATTCTTACAGTTGGGCAATTTTCCAATCTAATTTCACATAGATTTGATAGTTTGTCAACTGTATTGTGAGAGAAGTTTTGTTGTTAATTCAAATGTTATCAGAGATAATATCAAGAAATAGCACTGCTAAAGGATACGGACGGTCTATGGAACTTTTCTATAAGATAGCAATGGATTATGATACTTGTACAGATTGAATGAAGATCTCGAGATTTTCCTTTCTGAGAACTTGGAATTTGCAGCTTCATTGTGATGACATTATGCGGTCCCGATTTGACATTTTTAAGAAAAATGAAAGGTATCAATAAGATAAAACGAGATGACGATCATTTCTCATTTGAAACAACTTTGCGCATAGCAGTTCAGTGCTTGTTCGCTATTAAAATGGTGATTTCTCTTTATTTCTGAAAATTTTCACAAGATGTCAGCTGAAAGGGTAAGTAATTATCAGATTACTGCTGAAGGATTTCTTGGATTTAACACATTCATCTAAGCATCCCGGTATTATGCTCATTGTTTTTAGCTTCATGAAATCGGTTTCGTCCATCGCGATGTCAAGCCGGGTAATATGGTAATCGGTATAAATGGACGAGATTGTAGAACTATTTTCATGATTGATTATGGTAATCTGTGCTTTGTTTATTCAAATAGAACGACTTTAATTTCAATTTTGCAGAATTACCTAACTGAAATTTACATTGATCAATCAATAGGTATGGTAAGATCATTTGCTCTGAAGGATCCTAATACAGGAAAATTTGTACTACGAAAACCCAGAAAGCGAGTTTTGCTGCGAGGTACATTACGATATTGTTCGCCGAATGTTCATCGACGTATGGAACAGGTTAGATACATAAATACTTTCAGATTGCTTCTCTTCATGTTATCGCATGCGGTTTTGTGGGAGTACTGTCCTGATTGAGATCAGTTCCAGGGTAGAAATGATGATCTGTTATCTTTGCTTTACATGCTCATCGAGCTGTGCTCTGGCTTGCCGTGGAATGCGATCAAAGATGAGAAAGTGTTACTGCAAATGAAGGAAGGAATTACAACAGATAAACTTTTTAAGGTAATTAAGTGAACGGTGCTGTCATCTTTTCTCTATCATCGTTAAAATTTTGAACTTTCATTAAGTGTTCTACAAATTTATTTTTTTCACAAAAACATGATAAAACTCACAGAACAGATATAATTCAATGCTGGAAGTAATGAATATACCTGAATTGATCGAGTTAATATTCGGAAAAACAGTAATTTCACATAGTTTTGCTTGTAGAAAACTCCGACTGAATTCACACCAATTTATGATCACTTGATGACACTGCAATATAAGGATCGACCGGATTACAAATTTATATATGATCAAGTAAATGCTTTAATATTTTTTGACTCTTATCATATTAGAACTGGGAGAAAGAGAAAGAGAGATTGTAACTTGTACTGCTATTTGCAAAGAAAATCCAAAAACGAGATAAATTTTGAAATTCAGTAGAATTTTTGGATTTTCAATTCCTGAAATTTTTTGATTTGGAATATTTTGGTACAGTGTTTGTTGTAGTAAACCAAAACGTTGTAGTAAACTGAGTAAAACTGATACGACTTGAAGTTGGCAAATTGCAGTTCATGAAAGGTATTAGGCGATTGGGAACACACTTCATGGATGCGTATGACTGGGAGGATGACAAGGACATTCGGGAAGCTATGCAGCTGCAAACGGCTTTGTCGTATCATGAAGAGGACAGGAGAAGAAAAGAGAATAGAAATAAGACTGAGAAGAAAAAGAAGGATTTCGATGGTAATTGCTGAATGGGGTGAACTGGTATTAAATAAGTATAGGGATAAGTTGATGAAATATATGAAGTTGTCTAGACGATTGATCACTTCTGAGTGGTCAATGTTTTCATATCAATCAATAATGCATGAGGAGATAAGAAGAAAAAGAAATGATAATTTCAATAAAATTATCGTTATTTCAAATTTATGATTATTGAAAAAAAAATAAAACTTTTGCTCGAATGAATTTCTTCTTTTTTAGACCCATATTATCTCGATTTCCGATATTATCCGACAACCGATCCAAAGCGTTTCGAGGAGAAATTAATACCAATATGAATTTGATAGTTTATAAAATTATCGTTACTATGATATGCATGCTCTCATATTCTTTTTGCAATGGATGACAATGAATAAAACGCCACACATATTACAGCAAATCCCAATTTTTGCTCTTTATTAAAAAACAAAGAATAATATGATATGAGCGAAGAATTTACCTAAAAAATTTGTAAATACTGCAAGAATTGTTTCTGAAAATGCATAAATTGTAAAAGTTTTATTTGTATCGGAACATATAGTACACAGAAGTTGCATATTTCTGGAATAATTAATCTTGTATCCAAGATCGACACAAAGCTATCTGAACGAACAAAATTCTTCTTTCATTTGAAGTCCTCCTCAAAGATTTTAAATGGATTTAGTTTATTTTCTTTCTAAAATCTCTTATTTTAACCAAGTATTATGAAGTTATTTCTTACATGGAACAATATATGAAACTACTTCAGTCGTGGATGAGATTGAACTAATATCATTCTACAATTCATCGTGTTAATTTTAATCTGAAACACCAATTGATGTTACGAAAATCGCAAACCAAGGCTAGTTAACAAGTCACATTTATGACGAATCTTAAATTAATGAATGATATTGAATACTTGAACCGATAGAATTTAATGATACTTATCAATCAAATCAACAGTTCGAAATTACACATATTACACATATTTTATAACTTTTTTTTTATTAAATAAAAGTCTTCAAATAATATTACAACTTTAAAAAAATAAATTCCTAATAATGCATAAAATTAATTTCAAAACTTTACTTTCATATTTTATTTTCAAATAATATTAAAAGGCTCAGCAACTTGAAAATTTTATATAATTTTAGTAAAACTATTGTTGTCCCAAGAAATTCATTAGATCATTTTTATTCTAATTTCAAAAACAAGTGACAGAAGTTTTTTTCAATAATAAGAAAGTCTTTGAAATATTATAATTGCATTCATTTTTCGTTATAATAATATCGTCTTCAGTTCATTTGTTTGATTCTGTTTATTTTACTATCTTTGAACGAACCGATTTCTTTAGTCTGAAAATATCTACTAATCAATAATAATCAATAACTGCCTAGCTAAAAACTCAATTATTTTGATCTAAATAAACTGTTAGTCGTCCGGTTCTTACCTACTTTATTTTATTTATCACACCTGCATCTAATGAAATCAAAATTTGAACATTTGGATGTGAGAAATTAATAATATGTAAGCTTGTTGTGAAGTAATAAAGTAACACTTTCCAATTATTAGCATTAAAATGCTCACATAAACCCATTAATTGAGTATTACGCCCTTTTTAATTGTTATTTCGCCGAAAAAAAAAAAAAAATTGTTTTTCTTACTGTTCTTTATTCAGCTGAAGAAAACAAAATTTAAACAAAATGAAAAAATAATTTAAATTGAACCAAGAATGAGTGATGATGTCAGTAACTGATATAATTTTGAATAAAGCATTCCCATGACCACTGCCTGTGCAAGTGTACGTCTGTAAATAGAATTCTTCCAGTAATGAAATGAGGCGACCTTGTACCGCAAATCAAAATTAGGAACGGCCAAAAATTTCTGTTTGGTGCTGAAATCATTCTTTTGCGCTACCCTTTGTACAGTTTACTGATTTTCAAATCTTTACTACCTATTGGAATATTAAAATGCTTCTATAGGAAATTTAATTTCACAAACTGTTATACTGACAGGTATTGAAGTCCATGTTAGCAATTTCTAAGTTTAAGATGAAGAATATCGTACATTATTTACCAGGCAGTCGAACTGATTAAGAATTGTGTTATATAAATAACAATTATGTTTTTTTTTTTTTTCTTGTAAAATTATTACTTACTAGATCAAGTGATGCTATAATAGCTTAAAGGAAAATTTATTTAAGACATTTGTACCACTTGAAGTAATTTTAAAAAAGAATGATATAAAAACCATTTAATACATTTCAGTAATTTAGACCGGTTTATTTTTAAGACATTTAAGTGTTTGAAAGATAAAGTAATTCAAAACTCAAATGGAAGAAATTGGTGAACGGAAAGGTTGGAAATGTGTAAGAAACCGATGATTGATATATATGTCAGGGAAAGTGTGCTCCAAAGAACTCACCTTACCATTACGGGTAACTTTTGAATTGAGATCGATGATGAGACCGTCTGCGATACAAGCTTCAACAGTAATTGCAGCCCGTTCATTGCATTTTTTAATAAAATTCGTATCTTCGACCCATCTTGAAATAACTCATTAATAATGAATTTAGCATGAATACAGTAGCAGTAGTAATTACGACAGACTTTAAAAAAAAAAAAACCTGATTCTCATAAAAACTTTATAAACCTTTTGTACAGTAAAGCATGCAATAATAACTGAAGATTTCAAAACTTGCAAAAAAAAAAAAATCTGAGAGAAAAAAAAAACGAACGTTTCACCAGTTTTCCTCCTCATACCGTTAACAATGCAAGAAATTTGTCCAGTCTTTGGTACAGTGCGCAAATTTCCCGGGAAATCACGTGTTAGGGTTACTACACCATCACTACGGGCTATACAACTGAAATTATTGTTGGTATAAAGGAATTAATTTCAACTTTAAAAGACATCAAATTAGTCCAACTGTATCATATTTTTAATTAATTAAGCTTACTGCTTTAGATTTAAACCAAACTACAAAAGCTTCACAATTATTGCTATATATTCTCTTATGCTTATATATGAAGTCACTGGTCACAACTTAAATGAACGTACAATAAACAAATTGACCGTAAAATGCACTCTCAAGGAAAAAGAGTTAGTGATTAACAGTACAATGGACGAATTGATAATGCTTCAAATAGAAATTCGAAACAGTTCATTGCGTTGTGCAAGCATTCTCATTAGTGGCATTAACTAAAACTTGGAATGGATGGTAAAATGTAATTTCTGGTGACGAAAATAGTATAAAATTGGAGTAACCATGAATTTTAGCAGAAATAGAAACAAACTTATATCGAGTTCCATTTAGTGTAACAGATGTGTTCAATGTAATCGGAATGCCGGTATCCGTTAAGCAATTCACAATATGTGTTCCGGTTGATGTGCAAGTTTTATTGAAGTTTCTTTTACTGACCCACCATTCTCCTACACAACTGTTCAAAATGAAAACATGAAATGCAATGAAGCAATTATGAATCAACAAAAAGCACTTTGAATATTTAGACCCACAAAATATTATAGTTTAATTAAAATGTAATGAAATAGGAATGCTTACCAAAGCGATGCCCTTCACAATTAATATTTCGAATGATGTATTGTTTCTGCATCTGATACCCACCCGACGGCAATTTTACACAGTGGAATTTCTGAAGAATGTTATTTAATCGAGTTTAGCTTTCGTTCAAAAATTACTGCAAATGCTTAAGTGTTATGAGAAATAGTATTTATTTGATCTCATGCATTCAAATAACAAGATATTCAGCAAGAAGAGAGAAAGCTGAATTAAAAAATTGAAAATTAACTCAAAAAAGCCTATATTATGATCAAGTTTCTTTGCACTACTCATACCTTAATGTTCTCGATATTTCTCTTCTCATTTTATTTATCATCGTTTAAATTCTTCCTCAACTTTCCCTTAATTTAAATAATCCAAAATTCATGCAGCATTCAGAAGAACAAACAAACTATATCATTCTCTACAATCTCGTCACCGTCATACATTTCGACACCTTCCGGCGTTTGACATGCAACAACATCGGCTCGCCAAGATCCATTCAGATAAACGTGACATTCGATAATAAACGCTGATCGAACTAACTAAAATAACCTTTATCTATGCTATGTAATTATAATTTGAATGACTACATTTTATTAAATGATTTTTACATATTTATCCTGCTATTTCCAGGTTTGCTGAATATGCAAATATTCTGAATGATGTTGCCACTAAGGTATTCTTTTAAATCACATACACTACCTACCGTTTATGATTTACGGAGAAAGAGAATTTGCTCTTTTTTATCATCCCTATTAAATATTTCAGATTTTTTAATTTTAAAAAATCAGAAAATTTTGATTTCACTTACCCATCGATCACCATTGTTGTGTCGCTCACCCAAATAAGTACAAGCAATAGCATGAGTATCTCTTCCAAAACTTAACAGTAATATTAACAGCAGTAATGATGCTGTGCTAAGGACGACTGTATTACACATATAAATTCAATTTTAGTCTCTAATTTTAGGGGACGTTGTAGGAAGCTTGCCGCCTACCTGTACCTGACAGTAATCTATGAATGATGAGCTTTTCGCTGTCTGTGTCATCTCTTCTTAGTGACAATTACTATTATCATCAATAAAGAGAAAAAAAGAAACGAAGGCGTGGTTCTAATGGATGAGGATCCGTTTGTTGATATGATAACTGTCACTAAAAAGAGACGACAAATGTATCATATTTGATTACCCCATCGTCCTAGTGATTTCTGATGAATTCATGATTTTTGCTACAATTTTGATCAGGAAATTAGTATCCATTTGGCTTTAAAACTGATTTTCTAACTTGCAGTTTGTTTTAATATAAAATCAATATATATTCAGTTCGGCAATTATTTTCCGATTTTGACTAGCAACTAGTCTTACACTCGGAACCAGTCTAAATTTGAAATAACCAATTGCGATAATCAACAAATGTAGATATTACTATGATCCGTATCAACACCCCGGCTATTCACTTTAATCTTAGACATTTCTGACATTGCACTGCAGAAACCTGACATATTAATTAGGGTTCATCTAATTAATTCTCTCAGCTATAAATTCGGAATAGTTTCTAAAAATCGCCGATTTATTCCAGAGAAATCCAATTTTGATGGCGAGTAACGCTAAATTTAAATTGTACTTTTACAATAGACGGTAAACGCATTAAACCAAAGTTCTGACAAAAACTGTGACAATCTAATTCCCTTATGGATGATTGTTTCAAATTTCAGAGTTCAGCTTAATTCCTCAATAACTTCACTAAATCTCTGACTATAAAAAAATCAGTTTGAGCGACGAAATTTAAATGGAACTTTCAGGAATTAAATTGTATGTTTCTAAGAGACTGATTAGTGGAGTAGTCGGATTCAGTTCAGAATCACAGGTTAAAACCTTAGAAAGCAAACTGAAATATAAAATACTAAATTAAATAAAACAATCAAGCAAGTGGTAGTCTTAGATCCATACGAAGATTCGAATTTCTTCTTCACAATCAACTTTCCCTTGCATTAGATTTGAATGAAAAAAATAGATTAATTCTCTGGTAAACCAAATGAACTATCCTACTTTGTTTTTTACATTTTAATTGCACTGTTGAGTTTTCAAGTGTAAAGAAAGGATATCCATAATACGTATCCAGAAGGATAATTTCTTCTGAAGAGAATAGCTTTGTTAAACTTTTTAAGCAGTTGCTAAAGATCTACTATCGCACTGCTGTGACCGAAAATGATATAATATACAGAAATAAATTATGAGTCCACATGATACAAAGTAATTAAAATGACAGCACTGACTACTCAAATAAAGACAATAATCACAATATTATAGAACAGGATAACAACTACTTTAATATCACAGCATATATAAATAGGGAAGAGTGAACAATATAAACTTCCGTTCGCGAAAAATTTAGCGAAAAACAGTTTCACCAATTACAATTATATAAAGTTTGAAGGCACAAATAAGTGGAGATTAAAATTTTTGCAGTTAAGAAAGACGGATTTCAAAAAAAAGAGTTGAAGGATTACTAAACAAAAATATTTTCTAGCTGCACATCAGTTAATCAAAATCATGCATATGTAGACAAACTTTCCAAAAAAACTAGAAAAGTCAAAGAATTTAGTAAAATAAAATAGATCCTGATTATATTTAGAATTATGTATACAATTCATCAACAAATAAATAATACTAAATGAACCGCAAAAGTTAACAAATATATCTATACAGTAAGAGATATTGCCTACTCAGAAAAAGAGAAGCACTGTTTAAATGTGCCCCTGGGAAAACCCAAGAATTTGAGATTATCGATGCATAATTTCTTCGTGACATGCATTACAAACACGAACCGGATTTCTTGATGACGCAATTTTAGCTGTGAACGACGAACACGAGGCACAAAATATTTGTCCACATTGTCTACAATGATGTTTGCGATTTGTAAGAGTAAATGGTTTGTCACAAGTATGACAATTTATGGCCTCTGAATCTTCCAACCATTTACGTGATATTTGCTTTGCAAAATCCATCTAAAATATTAAAATTTTAAGTAATCCAAAATATCAAAATATTTTAAATCATGCACCGTAAAATAAGCAAAGTGATAGAAAAGTTACAATTTCACACCTGTTATTCATTCAGAATTTCATGATAAAGAACTGAAGTTAAAGCAGTGTATCAAAGCTTGCTATGACCTTACAGTTGAAAAATTATTTATTTTCTGAATTATTTATTACAAAAAAGTTTTCTTTTTTGTGGAAAACTATTAATTTACAAATCAGCAGCACGAAATGGATACTGTATAAGTCTAACCTGCAAATTTTGATTCACTCGTCCAAGTTCTCGAATAGCAGTTTGAACATCATCGAAATTTCTCTTGTTTACAATAGCTCGCTCGCGTTCAAACTCCAGATCATTTTCTGCTGTTAAACACCTGAAAACTGAGTAAACTTCCCAATTTTTTTTGCTCAGAAGTTTTTTGTCCACCCTAAGTTTTATCGAGTGCAGTGCAAAAGCATCACACCAACCTTTCTTGCAATGCTCGTTTTTCTTGTAACCATTCTGTTTTCTTTTTCTCCAATTCTGCAGGTAAATATTACAGCAATTGATCAATTTTACATCAATTTAACAGGATTCTTCAAAAGGATTTCCGTGACAAAATAGTAACATTAAGAGAACAGGAAAACCTACCGCTTTGAAGAATGATTAATTTATTTGAATCTTCATTGGCCTTTTTTAAATCATCATTTATACGCTTCAAAATTTCATCTTTTTCTTCATTATCTTTTGAAATCTCCTTTAGCCTATTTTTTTCTGCTTCCAACTGCACATGAAGTCTCGACAGGCTTTCTTCTTTATTCTTTTCACAGTTTTCCTGCAAGGAAATTTCATATATAAAAAAAAATCAACAAAAAACCATGCAATAGAGTGCATTTAGAACTAAAAAAAAAAACAAACCAAACTGTTTTTCAGCAAATTAGTTTCTTTTTCAAAATCATTTTTGAGTTGTGATGTGCTTTTTTCAAGCTGATCCAATTCCTTCCGCAACTGCAATACAAAGAAACAAAATTTGAAAATTTTCAGAACATATCAGAAAAAGCTTTGAATCCAAATACCTCCACGTTTTGCCTCTTCAATTTTAATGCGTCATTTTCCAGAGTATATCTTCCTTCTTCTTTTGAGCGCAATTCATTACGTACCCTTTCCTGTGAATCAAATATTTTTATCCACAATATCAATTTATTTATGAATTTTTGAATATACTTTTGCAGGAACCATTACTAGTAGCTGATTACTGTAAAAAAGTTTTAAGTTACAGATTTCACTGCAAGCTGCTATGCATGACTGTAATTCACAATAGATTCACGCAGTGAGCATGTTATCACATTTTGCAATGCAGAGATGCTCAACAGTATTAATGCTAGCAATTTCGGTGACGAAACTAATTTAGAAATACGTTTAAAAACAGTAACTTTACCATCTCCTGCATTATGTCAGATAACTGCCTCTCCTTAGCATGAAGTTCCTCCTTCAATTCAGAAACTGTTTCCATTTGAATCACCAATTCCTGGAAACACATACATCCCAGAAATACTTCTGCACGCAAATAGTAACTGATATCATTCTGTTAATTTTGTATTTTGAAAACCCTTTACCAGTGTCCAAAAGTTTGGAGCTACTCTTGTTCTCGACGAAGTTCTATTTATATCACAGATTCTGCTTTCACTCCCCTCTCTAACTTCAAAACACGCCACCATTTAATTCCCTAACAATGAAACTAAAGAAAATTTTCATCACTTTATGAAATATCGCAATCAATATCACGAGAAACAAAAATATAACTCTTTCTTTCGCGGTCAATATTGCCGTATTCTCCTGTTGAAGTTGGCTTAGTTCATACTGCAAATCTTTTATAGACTTATCATGATTATGCCTTTCACATTCCAATCCAGCCATTAAACTCCTGATATTTTGTTCTAATTCCTATAATAATTGAATTTCAATCATGTATATATTTTGTCGAACTTTTTATTTCTTAATTTTTAAATCGTTCAATTTCCTAAACCGTAAAGAAAGGCATATCTTTTTGGGATATAATTCGTACCTAGACAGGTTAAAACTTACTTTTACACTAAATTTTGTAACTTCCATAGTTGATTAGCTAGAAAAAGAACCAAAATACTATTTTCAAGGAGAAATTCTCCTAAATAAAAAATAAATCTGCAATCGATAGCTAAAGTGTCCAGAAAAGAATGTTATCCTATCATATTTTGGTGCATTTACCTTTATTAATAGTTCTTTTTGGCTCATGTTTTCCAATAATTCAACTTCATTATCCTTACATCTTGAACATTCTTCATTCTACAATATATCCAGAATATGACATCAAAAAAAATATCAAAAAATAAATAAATAAATAAAAATATCAAAAAAGATAAAGCAAGGTTAATAGAAAGACAACTGTCAGTAATATTTTTTTAAATTGGCTAGAGATCATTCATATTAACCAAAACCAAAAATTGTAAATGTTCCAATATCGTAACATACCAGAGCAGAAAATTGCTGCAAAATATTTTCAAATTGTTCCTTTAGCACAATTTTCTCTTGTTCACATGTGAAAAGTTCTTTCTGCAGTTGGCATACATTCTCCTTCGAACTTTCTCTTTGTTCCGCTAAATCGCATTCTAACTGAAATAACGTTACAGCTCTATCTACTGTATCAGATTGAAGCTTTTGATGCTGACTGAAAACGGAAACACACAAGTATGATTTCAGACTCTATCCTATCACTGAATTTTCTTCTTACTTTTCGACAATTTGTAAAAATGTTGTCTTAGGAAAATGCAGTTGGAAAAAGTATCTCTCAATGTTGTCTTTACGTAACAAAGTATATTGAAAAACTTGCCAAAAATGGCTTCGAAATATGCGAAAGAAGATAAAACAACCAAAACTAAACCTTTTTTTTCGCTATTTTTATTTCCTTCATTTCTGATTGCATCTCTTTCATTGTTTCTTTTAATTGCATATATTCTTCATTACGCCTGATGGCAGCAGTTTCTTTTTCACGCAGTTCGCTATCCTATAAATACTGCTGAATTCCAGGACAGCTGGAAAACTTTAATAACTCATATGCAGATAGCGGGAAGCATTAGTATGATCAATATTTTTCGAAAGTAAAATATGGAAAAGAAATAATAGTACAATTTTTCCGTCAACTCATTTTTTTTTATCAAATGAAAATGCAATACATAATAATAATGCATGACTATATTGTATCACCATATAAATTTGGAGTCATTGATTCAATAATCGTATTCAAACTTAGCAAATTAAATGGAAATAACTAACCAACTGTAAGGCTTTTTCCTCCATTAGCGCGAGCTTTTCAACAGCTGACTTCAATTTGATACGTTCCGTTTCGATTATTTTATTCTTTTCCTCACTTGTCGTCGTTCTTTCTTCTAGCAATGCAGATAACTAGAATAATATACTTTACATAAGAGTTAAAATGGGGATTGATACACCATTAAGTGAACAAATTCTGATCTTTGACGTCACTGTGCGATGCACCTGAAACTTTTAGTCCAACATCTGTTTTTTCAATAATATTCTCCATATTAGATTTTAAGATATATTTTAAACTAAAATTAAAATATTGCAATTAAACAATGTCGAAATTATAATATCATTAATGCGAATCAATAGCAATGTACAATTCCCATAAGTGGTGAGAAATGGAACTTTATTAAATAATAAACTTTTTTTTTTTTAAATAAAAAAAAAAGGAATGTTATTTATTTAAAAAAAAAAAAATAGTATTTATTTTTTAAAAAAAAAAAAGTTTTTTAAATATCATACAAAAGGTAAGGGAATACCAAACGCAGACGTTTACTCGCCTTTGGTATCCCTTTATCTTTCGAGAAAAAAAGGAGTGTAGAATTACAAACTTTTTTATTCTTTTCCTCAGCAGAAATGTAATTACAGTGCAAATTGCTCAGTTCATTTTCTAGCTTCTTCATTTTCTCCTTTTCAGCCTCTATATTCTTTTTCCAGCTCTCTTCATGCTGAGATATTGCATTTTCATGCGAGGTATTTAAAGACTTCAAAGTTTCATTCAACCTATTTACTGTTTCCTCGAGTGCCATTTTCTCCTTATGCATTTGTTTCATTGCTAAATTCTCCACTCCGTTGCCTTCAGAAATCTAGAAAAAACCTTTTTTGAATATCTTGAAGTCATGAATAAAACTCCGTTACGAGAATTTTGTAGAGCATCGAAATAATGAATAATAAAATAAAAAATTCATGTAAAAAGTAATTATTAAATAACTACTAAGAACTATATTTGCATAACAACAACAAACTTTTTGCATCAGAAGTGATTCCTTCGCCTTTGCTTCTTTCAAATTCTGCTTCAGTATACCTTCGATTGTGGATGCTTCGTTCAAAGAAGCTTCCAATTTGGAAATGTTTTTCTTCAATTGTTCAATTTCTTTTCGATGCTCAGATATCGTTTCCTCATTCTTAATTATTTGTATTTTCTGAAAAATTATTGTGGTCATTTTATGCAGCAGGAATAAAATCATTTTTGAAACTTTTACGAAAAATTATTTATCAAATTATCTTGAACTTTTTCCGCATAATTCTGCTTTTGTTCATCCAGCAAAGCGAATAATGACACGATTTCTTGTTGTAAACTATTACGTTCTTTTTCCACCTGAAACCATGAATCAGGTATCATATCGCTAGCATAATAAACAAACACTTTTATAGCTTCAGATACATTCCAAAGCGTACTTTTATTCGTGTACCTTTCATTTTGCTTTGAAACCTAAATTTAAAAAGAATGATTTAAAGATGAAGAGAATTATATCGTAGTCCACTTCAAATAATTTTTACTGATACGCAAAGCAATATCAATAAAATATTCACTGAAACTATTACTGCCGATATTACCTCCAGTAGAGAATTTCTTGCATCTTCAAGTTCCGACAACTTGTTTTTTTCAGTCCCATTATCTATGATTTTTTTCCGGCATCCATTCACAGTAATTTCTAAATCGTCGATTTTCCTACAAGCATCAAGGATTCTTTCAGCTGAATTTGTGGCTTTCTCCTGCAATTGAAATTTACAATAAACTGCAACACTGAGATGCACAGAAACTCGACGAACAACATACTTCCCAAACTTTTCTGAAAGCGTTGATTTCTCCGATAAGTCTCTCAGATCCACCATCATATCTAAACAATTCTACAGTTACATATGAAGTCGAGGCCACGGAAATTCATCATGTAATCAATAAAATGACAAGACATTAACTTATTAACTCACCTGGAAATCGTATTCTTGAGGGCTTCAATATTACTTTTTAAAATCGCAATTTCACCTGTTAACCTGAAAAGATGTTGATGTATTTTTTAACAAGAACCTTACTTTCGAAAGCTTTTTCAAAATATTTTTCATGCAACGATATAAATTTAGCATCTCAAACTAAAACAGCCTACTTTTTATGATCTTGCTCCATATTGCGTATTGTACCGACATCTTTCTTAATTTTTTCTTCTTTTTCCTGTGTTATTGTGTCCATTAGTTGCTGTGCATGTACTAGTTCCTTCCTAAGCACGCTGACGTCATCTTCTGATGGTCTAAAATGAGTTAAGTAAGACAGAGAAATAATAAAACTAAAGTAAAACCATAAAGAATTAAAAACTTTTACAACCTACAATTCACCTTTGATCGAGTTTTCGTCGTAAGTCTTCGATTTCTAGTTCCAAATTCTGTATCTCTTCCCTGTAGCGCACTAGCTCATCACCCAGAAGAGCTTTTTCGTTATTTTTCTCTTCGATTTCATCTGTTTTACTGGCAATCTTTGTCAAAAGTTCTCCAATTTTTTCGATCAACCTACTTTTTTCTTGCTTCAGTTGTTCAACCTGTCGGCTCATCCCCCTTGTTTCTTTTTCCATTTCAAGCATTCGTTCTGTTGCTGGAAATAAAACGGCAATCCTTCTTAGAAATACGAAATACTCCTTTTAATAAAATCAAGCTTCCTTTAATAAAATTAAAAAAAAAAAAAGAAAAACCTAAGGCTTTGCCAGCTTCGAGCATTTGCATTTGCTGTGTAAGATAAGGTATTTCGTCCTGAAATTTCAATAGAATTTAACAAACTTAGTGAAAAAAAATGCAAATAATACCAAGTAAACTGATAGAAAAATATCAAGTAAATTGAAAAAATGAAATAGAAAACATTTGTCATTAGCCTTTTCTTTCGAATGAAAGATTAAATGTGGAATATTAAAAGCTACTTACATACCTCAGATATTTCTGTTTGATTTGCGATGAGACCATGCAACCTATCAAGCTCTTTTTTTAATTCCACTGAATAGCGCTTCTCGTCTTGCAGTTGCGATTTAAGTTCTTTCATGTCCAACTCGAGATGAAGTGCATCTGATTCATTAAAACCATTCTCTAAATAAAACACCTCCATTATTGAAACCGAGTTTCAGCCTTGAATTAGATTATAAAAAAACACTATTAGTAAACATATTCAAATGTTGAAGCAAATAAACGCACCAAGTGAACTAAATGAGAAGGAACCAGTGAGTTTTTGCTTTCCAACCTGAAAAAAATAGTAATATTTCATGAAAAATGAACTGGATAGAAAGAATACCTGAATGTTTTATTGTTAATATGTCATAGCTACTAGGCCTGCCAACAACAAAATGCAGCAAAATATGAAATTAATTATTGCATTAGTAAAACACAATTGATAACATTAACCTGTTTAATTGCATGCACTCGAAAATGCACCTGCAACTCATCTGGAGAAGAAAATGAATGCATGCATACGGGACATAAAAATCCTTCTGAAGGTGTGCTACTTTCATTAAATAGTGGCTCGTGTTGAGGCTGTAAAACGACAATCCATTATCACTGGAAGCACAAGAAAAGTCAGAAAGAATCAGCGAATGATTTGTCGCTTTTTTACAAGAAAGGTAAAAGAACGACCAATTGTTCACTGAATCTCCCTAACCGATGGTCAATGATATTTTTATTCCTCAGCCTTTCCTATTGCCTTGATATTGCATCCCGCTTTAATCGTTTTGTGTAGCACACAGAACATATGTTTAGCTAATGAGAACTTTAATGATTTTTGTGGATTAAGCTAGGTCAACAAACAAGATGGGGAAATACCTCGGAGGGAGTAACACTGTTTACGGCTTGCGTCACCTGCGTTTTCAGTTTACGTAACATCCTGAAATCTGCCTTCTTCAATGCAATACAATGAATTTCGATGAGCTTGAAGAAAATTTTGAATAGAAAAAGTTAGGAAAGATGGCAGAGGGAACTAATTTATGCCTGATTCACTATAAACAGATGGCTCGTGCATAGTGTGCACTCTCTTTACAATATTGATAATTGAAGAAGTCAAGAATAAACTTTTCACTCTCATCATTAAATGAAAACTTCTGTTAAAGTACTTCTAATCAGGTTCTTCTCATATTTACAAGGCTTGATCAGTCCAGTGATAACTTGAATATTTTAGATCGTTTTTTACAATGCACCCAAATATTATTAATAATTAGTGTTGTTTATATTGATGTAATAATTATTACATAAGTGACTGGGTATACAATATGAAGACAAGGAAAGCCAAGGTCAATATGATATTTAGTAGATAAATTCGAAAAAATAAATGAAGACGTATGTGTTTCGCAGATGAAAAAAGAGGAAGAGACAAAAGAATACCAAAAAAGTCATTAAATGGAGAAAATTTCAAGAACTGAAATAAACTAATAAAGTATTTTTGCAATTTTTTTAATGCATAAAAACTACATTTTCACACAGAAAATCAACAATAGCTGCATAAAATGGTAGAGTAAAAAGAATATTTTAGATTAACTTAACTTAACTATGTACTAAATAAAAATATATCAATTTACTTTGGCTAATTCATCCACCTCTCCCCAATTATTGTTTTACCCTTGTCATCGAGTCACATCATAATGATAATAAAACATTGATACTGTGGGATTGTATTTTCATTCAGCTTATACCACTGTCACTCAGTGCACACTCTCGACACAACAACTTGGGTGCCTGAGCTTGGCTTCCTTTCGTTCTCGACTTAGAGCGGGGTTATATGAACATTGTCAGACTATTCCAGTGCTGCTGTTCCAGTCTTTTTTTAAAGTATAAAGTTCTAGAAATGACTTTCAAAAAAAAAGAGAGTGAAGAAGGACTTGTGAGAATGTACCTTTGCATTGGAAGTGAAATTAGTTACACTGGAAGTAATAATGTCAGGAATAAATTACAATCAGTAGGAATGTCAGTCAATAAAACAATTGGAAAGTAAGGAAAAGCTCATGAGTAACAGTAGAATAGTGCATAGCATAATGTTATCAGTTATATGCAGAACAATGTTGTGAATTGCTAATAAACGTTAGTAAATTTTCGAACTTTGATTATCATATCTTTTCCTTCAACAGTATGCGTGTTACTTCTATTTTTGAACCATCAGTTGTTGAGATCTCTTAAATTCTACCCTTTAATATTCTAGCTCTATTGAGGCGAGGAATTCCGTACACTTTTTCATATTTGAATTTTTCATTTAGTTACTTTTAAAAGCCTCTATATCGATAGAGAATAAAGTTGAAGTGAATGCTTCAAGAGACTTGTGTTGTAATTGTGTATTACTGAAAGTAAACTGATGCATAGATTGAATGTCTGTTAGAAACTGACCTATAAATCATATAAGTTTGAAATTTTGAGAAATTCTACATAAAGATAGAGATTAAACTTGTGTAGAATCTTTTATTCAAATACGATAGATAAATAACCGATCGATATCTCTATCGCTACTAACCATTAAACAAAAGATAGCTGTTATATTTCTTCAAATAGCCCTTATGTTTATACAACTTTTAGATTTTTCTTTTGTCTATTAAATGAAATCATAAGGCAAGGAAGGACAAATGGAATTTGAAAGCACAGTCATATCTCACTTGAATATGTTTCTCGAATAAAACAATTACAGAAGCAACTTGGCAAGCGTGCAATACTGTATCGTAGCATATGTTGTTAACATGTAAGTGAATGCACCACCAGTGAAAAGTCATTATGCAACAGATCATTATTGCTCTTAAGGATGGTCCGACAACATTTGTATTGCCCATTTCATTACTTATTATTTACGCCTATTATGAACACCTCAAAAACATCAGTGACTAAAAATCTATTCATGTAGGTAATGGTTAGTCTTAGAAGAAAATGCATTATATGTGAGTGTTGGAAACAAAATGAAGATTTTTTCACTTGAATGCTTTGATTGGTAATGAATGTATTATCAAATATATGAATATCAATAAAGATTTTAATCAAGTCATAGTTAAGAACTATATTATTGTGATTTTGCATATTTTAGCAGATTCCATCCATTTCATTCTCAATATCAAACATTTCCGCATCATCATCCATAATTAAAGGCTTGATACGACCCTTCATTGGAGCTGTGACACGAGTCGTCTGCGACATTGTCTTACCATCAGTGTTGTAAAGCAAATGGTCAGGTCCTTCCTCATAGCTAAACGTTCTATATGCTAAGATGTCTTGAGTGCATTCCATGAAGCATAGTTGGGCACATGATTCTATATAAATTACATCGCCACGCCTCACCGTCAGAGATTTTCGTGCTTTCTGTTTCACAGAAAAACTTTCGATGATGCCTTCGCCCTCCACCACTAACATGATGCTACCACATTCTAGGCTTGGAATAAATATTTTTGCTGTCGTAGATGATGGTACCTGAAAGTGCAGGAAAAGACTTGCCAATAAATAAGTATGGACTAGTTCATTTTACATATAACTCAAAATAAACTGCAGATGAATCATATTCAATAAGACAAGTACTGAAAAAGTTCTAAAGCTTCTGGCTAAACTAGGACGAGTTAAGAATAGTTAAGAATAAGATATTAAGAATATTTAAAATTAACTAGTTAATTTTAACTATTCTTAATCACCTTGATTTTCAATTACTTTAAGGACGGTAATTTCTACTCTTTTTCTTTCTCTTTTTATGCTCAAGGACATCATTCATTATTAGAGAAACAGTTTTTTCCCAAAGTTATCATTCACATAAAAAACGAAAACGAAAAGGATGATAAATTCACTTTAACTTCATGAAGTGTAAAGTCCTCGCAATCGGGATCGTAAACTCGAATATGTGGGAAATTTTTTAAAACAGCTGGAGACACAATATAAAATGATGGATCGGTCATCCGGTAGTTTAGAACTTCGCACAAAGTATCAATGTCGATGAATTTTGATGTGCATGCTGCTCGAATTGTGTTGTTCGAACAACTAACGCATTCTATACATTCTGAAGAAGAAATGGTGATATCCAGTTCCACTGAGTCAGTTCAGTGTGAAGAAAAGACCTACATGGAAAAAAATTATACTGGTAAGATGAACCTCCGGAAAGATAAGCATGAAGTTCTTGAGCGCCATAATAACAACATTCTCCAGGAGATAAAATAATGTGATTGAGAAGCAGCGGTACAAAACAGCCAATGTCACCAGGAAAATCTTGAGACATTTTCTGAACTACTGCTACCGTCTCTTCGCTAAGGGATCCACGCGCTATAATTTTATATTTCAAATTTTCTATATTTTTCAACAATTGATATTTAATCCGGACATTACTCAGGAACAGGTAAGATTTTAAAGGAAATTGAAATTTTTTAGCTTGTTTTAAATTATGTTTGAAAAATTTGAGAACATTCCCATAATTACAGATGTCATAATTCTGATTATAATATAATAATGACAATTTCTTTTCAAATTATGACTGTAAATCAAAAATTATCAAAGAAAATTAAAACACTTAAAATTTCTATTTTTGGAGAAAATTCCTTTTTTAATTTATTCAAAATTAGGAAAGCGAAATCAATAAGAAAGTCAAGAAGACATTTTCAAACTCATTTTGAGGTTTTTCCTTCAGTATAAAGTTGTCATTGGTAATCTTATAAGACTTCACTTTATTTATTCTCTTTGTAACTTAAAGAAACTATTCTAAGTTGATGAAAAGCATTACTTATTTCGTCAGATTTTCAAATTTAGAAAGAACAAACTTCCACAAATGAGCTTCGTAAGAACAGAGTCGAGCAATGATTTCGTTTTATCAGTGGAGTCGTTAGCATGTTTCATAAATTTTTTGAAACATACAGCCAGGGTAGATTTCAGTGTTTCACACTCTTCATCAATTCCAGTCCGTGAAAGTATTTGGAATGCTTGCGATGTGTCCTCACCCATCAGATGTTTCAGTTCTGGGAAAGCTGTAAAGCATAGTTATAAATTTTCAAATACTTTTGTTTCAGAATCAGTTAACAAAAATTTTAATATGTAGAACAAGCAGCTGATGTGCTATCAATCTAATTGATGTAAATCTTAAGTATGAAAAAAAAAAATAGGTTTTAAATTGTTTGTAGCTAAAAATTTCAATACTTAAAAATTGGACTGAAACTTTATAATAATTAAAAAACCTTCAAGATTTGCACAAATTTGACCAGCAGGTCGAAACCCGCACAATAGTTCAAATCGAGTAAGCGCATAAGCAAGCTCTGGTTTATGGTTCCTATCCGGATAATGAATTGGATCACGGTCATTTAGCCGTGCCGCTTGCTCCTATAACAACTTCATTCATGACGGAAATAAGAAAAGCTACAATTTGAAATTAACCTGATGATTATGGAATATGAAATTCTCCACTTGGGCCTCCATTATTCCAGTTTTTTTCCAAAGGAACTTATGATCTTATTGAATAATGCTGAAACGAACGAATATCTCTTACTACCTTAACTTTCTGTTTAATTTTCATTGCTATAACTAATTTTGGCCTCAAATTATTTATTGCTTTCAATTCGATTTGGATCTCATCAGATATCTCAAAAAACAAAAGAGGAACGAACCTTTGTAGGATGAACCTGTATAGATAAATTACGGTGTATGCTCATCAGTTTCATAATGAATGGGAGATGCCTTTCGGGTGAAACTTTATTATGATTGCTATTTTCATATTCAGCAATATATTGGGAAAGTTTCTTCTGAGATCGTTGAATCTGACATGGTCCATCCGGATGTGTACCCATCCACAGCTTTAAATTATATAAGTTATATTTCATCTTGTGTTAACTTGCCTTCTAAATATATATTAGAATGATAGGAATGAAAGAACTAGTTGTAATAGGTCATACCTCAGCATACGAAGTTTTGTCATCAATGTTTACATCGGGATCTCCCATAGCATATACTCGGGCCACCTCACTTGTCATACCTTTTTTACCCCATGCATATGTTTGTATACAACATTTCAATTTCTCCATTTTTCTGCAAATACTGAAATTATAACCATTTTACTTGACCAGCAGGTAGTAGTCGTCATATGTTATTTGTATCGTTTACAACACTTCACTTTTTGATGATACGAAAGAAATTTAAAAAGCCAAGTCTTTTTACTGCACTTCAATCATTAACATCAGAAAAAAAAAATTGTAAAAATGATTTTAAACGAGTGGAAAATCTATGAGAAAATATTTGCAAATCGACTTCCATTTTAGCATTACAAATTGAATTCCAGACATTTCTACAATTTTTTTAAACCCATAAAGAATTCAATTTCTGTAAAATTTAAATGTTTCAGATGAAAGATATCCACACAAGGAATTTCATATCGCACAGCAATTGGGAAGATGGTAGAAGTTAATGCTATATTATCCTTCCACTGCTTTACCTATTAACAGAAATCACCTTAACACTTGTATCTCGTCAAGGTAATTCCTCAATCTAACAGAGTATCGATTAGAATTACAGTATTGTCAACAAGAAGTATCAACTTTTCTCTGCCATCTCTACAACTGCGTATACATGCCCTGTGGATATGGAAGGCTGACTGTCACTTGCATAGATAGAATGAGTCATTGCTCTGAACATTTATTCATTTTTCAAATTAAATTTGACTGTCCATGATATTTGCTTTTCTTTAATTAAACTAATATAATGTGTGTGAGCATAAGATGAGCTTAAGGAAAGCAGGGCATGTAGCTGAAAAAAAAAAAAAAAAAAAAAAAAAACGAACAGTACAGATTTGTTAGTAATATGTATATGAAAGAGTGGAACATTTGAATCTCTTTGAAATCTTGACCAATTGGAAATCTTATAAGAAATGTTTAATTTGATGAAATGGGAAAGGGGAGGGAGAGAAGACATACAAAGATAAAGCGGGCGGGTAGTATAGAAAAAACTTTTTGCCATCATTCGCTTATCTTGACAATCTCCGTCAGTCAACCTTAGATGGAATATGATGGTTTAGAGATGCAAACAAGGCCATGGGAATCCTTTTCTCCTCTCTCACCTTACCTCTTTCAATATTGCGCAATTACCGATTACGACAGCATTTGGGAATTTTTAAAATTCTAATTTTGAATCAGTTATTAAAATCAAATTTTACTTTACAGTGAATTACCAAACTGATTACTTCAAACAACGGCAACTTTAACATTTCGACCAAAAAACTTATTAATTTGCAGAAAAACTGAGCACATGAAATATTCAATAGGCGTCTTTGGGACGAAAAAAATTAGCACAATTGGCCAGAGTATAGCATCTTAACATCAATAAAAACAAAAAAAAAAAACCTCATTTCAATAATACGATTGCTTGAACCCCAAATTTCTAAATCTCAATTACAAATCCTTCCATTCCTTTCAAACTTTAAGACACATTTCCTTCTCGAGAAATCAAGTAGGCTTATGCTTGAAAATATAGGAAGAATTCCAACAATCTGAAGAATCGTGAAAATGACCATGGAAGGAAACTTCACTTTGATTCTCGATGAAAGTCTGTAATGGCTAAAGTATTTTTTATAAGATCTGGGGAATTTCGAAAATTCACCATAGATTTCAAAGTTTGTTTAGGAACAATTATATTTATTTCACAAGAAAAGAAACAACTAAAAATAATGATTGAAATACATTGGCAACTTGGAAATGCATGGAATATTCCACAGAAAGGAAGAACCATTTCAAACCGGTTCATAGTCATATAATAGATGGAAATTAGGACAGTTTTCAGGGCTGTATTCTTCGGTAGGCGACAGAGTATCATCGCTGAAAATCGACCAACCAGCCAGTTCAATGAGAACAAATGTTCTAATGACGTCCAACTTGCCTCCGTAAGAAGTAATTATTTGAATTCCTGTTCCCCTAACGTTGTTAAACTGATGGATAATGAATCAAGATAAAAGTCAAAAATAGATTGAACATCCAACAAATCTTTTGCACTTTTCATGCATTTTGTTACCAACAAAATGTGATCATCTGAGAAAATCAAGACAGTACCGTCATGTGTATTGTAGGGACAAAAATTGGGTTCAAACAGCGGTACCCATTGAACTTTAGAAAATATGCGCTAAATGTTATTGTATGTGCAGAATTTATTTACACTGATATGGAAATTTTAACAGATCAATGGCAGCATCAAAAAAAGTGACCGGAAAAAAGAAAAAAGGTATTAAGAAAAGCTTTATATAAAAACTAATTTTAAACTATTATATTTTATTTGTTGCTTTTAATGAGTTCACATTCTTTCAAAGTGTGGGCACTGCTATATCAATGTTTACTTTTAAAAATTAAGGACAAAAAAGAAAGAAACAGTAGCTACGAGGTTTGCTTAGTCGAGATAAGGACGTGGAGACCAATCTGGATTTGATATTCTTCTTCGAGCTAAATCTACAGGTTTAACTCGGGATACGTCTCGTCGCAGCATGAACTCTCGCACTTTCCATCTCAATGATAATCGCTTTTTCTCACCTGGAGGAGGATTCTCCAGCCATCCTTTTCTGTATAATTCATATTTCTTTACAGGATCATGTCGAAACGGTACTCCGCCTGGAACTGGATGCAGTATCGGCCGTATAGCTGAAAATATTGAAATTATACAGGTTTATGGAAAGATTAAGGACTTTTGATAGCAAAATGAAATACGAATCGTAAAAAATTGCCAGGATCCACAGCAATTAGTGCATCTTCACTTTTCGCTTCATCGATATGTTCTGTAAAAAACGAAAACAAGAATTTATCAAAATCGTATTTTATTCATATTTATGCTAACTTCTTCAGGTCGGTTTAGAAAGCTTAGCTTTTATAATAATGGATTCATTAAAAAGGAAAAACATACGACAGGTTAGAAAAAATGTTTGTTACGCGCAAATAAGAACCTAAAAAAGGATAAAATAAAATAGCCCACAATTTTCAAGAAGATACCTTTCATATCATTTATTGCTTGAGTAGAAGCAAAGTTCTGCTTGTCTTTATCAGGTGAAAGTGACCTTACACGACTACGGTACAAACTTTCCTCGAGACGACTATTCTGGAAATCTATTCATTAAACTTTTTTTTTTTAATTCTACGTATCCTTCAATTTCTAAAAATAATTGCTAAAATATTACTAGTTCTTGCAAGCGATTGTTATCTTCAGTAATTTGCCGAAGATAACGATACCCATCATCCAAAATGTTCACTATTTCATCGCGGTTTAATATTCGCTGCAAAACTTAATTATGAAATTTCTTTTATAAGCCACACATTAAAAAATCAAAGGATATGAAAAACAGAGCATGTAAATAATTTTCGTAAAAAAAGGCAACATTTTTCGCAACAAAAATCCAAAAACTCTACTAGCTTTTCTATCATAAATCAATTCAAACTTTTACATTGATGGATACAGAAGATCGTGCGATATTCGCTTGCTTCTTACGCAATTCAAGATCTTCATAAGATGGAAGATGACGATACTGTTCCGCATAAAACAATCCTTCTCTATCATAGCTGCACGGCACGTCTAAGTAAAAAGAAATTAAATTTTCGTTCCATCAAAAATTTGTTTTAAAATGCTTTTTGACTCGATATTACTCCATATCACTGGAAGCTGTAAGCCGAATATTTCATTCTAAAATATATAGGATCCAATTATGTTTTCAAAACAAACCAGAATCAGCCAACTGAGCAACATTTTTCATCAGAGAATTGAACGACACCTTTTGGTCTTCAGATGGTTGTTCATTTTCTCGTTCCAGCTCATCCAAGAATTGATCCATTTCTATAATTTTTACTCGTTACGACCAATAACACCCAACCTCCGATTTTAATTTCTTTTAAACAAATCCTGCTACCAAATTACGTAATACAGTGTTACCTTTCTTGAAAACTATCAATTCTTCGGGTGAAAGATCGTAACCCATATCATTTATTGTCGCCAATAATTCCTTTTCCGTAAACCAATCCATGGGTTTTACACCTCAAAAATAAATTTCAAATCCGTATAGTCACTCCAGACTTTAACTTTGCCTTAATTTCAGTTGCTTTTCTAAGAAACTATTGTGTCTGGACATTACGAAGAAAAATTCATTACTTAAAAATTCATACTTTTCCTTAACGCTCTTTTTACATTAATATAAAAACATATATTTTTTCCACGTAATTATATTTACAAATCATCTATTCAAACAAAAATAAATTACAGAACTTTATTTTCAAAGATGCAACAGGTGTACAGTATGAGGTAAAATAAGAATATCCAGCAAAGGTTCCCACCGACTAGTACGATTCTAAAATACCCGAATCAAAAATTTTACATAGCGGATTTAACTCAAGTTAAGAACAGTCTTTTATAAAAAAAGTTCTTAAAGGACGCAAAGTGACTAAACAACAGAATCGTTCAATTCAATTCGAAACACTCTTCTAGATCGATGATAAACAAAAGTAATACTAAAAAAAAAGATATCGATGAATAATCTGCATGCCCTCTTGCACATGGCAGTCCTTTTATTCAGAATATTTAGATGTCGAAAATTAATTTAAACATTTTAATTTATAAGATAATACAAATCGGATTTATCATTAAAAAAAATAATTGCAAGAAAACGTTTTAGCATTTTTGACATCTCAATATTTAAAATATCATAAGTACAAATACATATTTAAACAGTAAATTATATAAGCAATATATTTAAAATGAAATTTCTTTGATAGAAATGTAAACTGTCTAGCAGTTATAATGTTTGCATGCCGTCCACGAACCTTTGCAATTCAGCATTCGGAGTAAGCATAGAACTAACATCCATTTCTTCAGCTGGTACTTCCTCTTTTACTTCTACACAATTCGGTCCTGATTTGTACCGGAATTTAGATATTTTCACTGTGGCATTGTCATCAATTTCATATGAAATTAATGCACATCCAACGACTTGCCCACCGTTTAATTTTCCTGTTAGATACCAAATATTTTTCCGGATCGCTGCTGGTCCAATCGTATTTCCATGACAGTAGTACTGTCGATGTAAGATATAATCATAATCTTGCAATAAGTGACAAACTTGTCCAAACTGCTGAATACGCCCTGTGATTTGACCATCTTTTACAAAGTATTTCCGTGTTTTCATGTGTGCCGCGAATCTTGAGGTCCAATAGCCTATAATATATACTAGTAATCAAAAAGGATGTCTTTTGTTTTCACTTCTTTCTTTTATTCGCATATAACACTCTCTAAAATCTTTAACCATCGACTTTTAAACAACTCGGCAACAGAAAGATTTCAATGGTAAATGGGAGTAAAACGATTACCGAAAGTTCAGCTGGAGATCGCATTTCATTACCTAATATAACGTGCATATATGCAGTATGTAGCACTTATATTCATATGTGTTGCACAAAATCAACGTGGTTAATAGATTCAAATTTTATACGATATACTCAAAATTATTAAATTTAAATGAAAAGAAAAAAAGTAATAATCATTTCTTACCCAAATTATCAGACGTGAGATCCCTTAACTTGACTGACTTCATGTCAACAAGGAAAGAGATCTTTCCTCCTTCTTTTCCGAGAAATATCTTTGGCACTTTTTGACAAACGAATGCATTACTTAAATATAGAAATGAATAAGAGAATCAACTTATTTAACTTAAAAACAATTCTGTTAAAAACTGAAAACTATCTAAGGAAAAAATTAGTGTTGTCGTTCTCAGAAATAGAAAAATCTCTATGAAATTCTCATTTATAAAAACAAAACTTCACTTTTCAGGTTCCAATAGAGTCGATATTGGTATAAGACAAACTGTATTGTAATAAATAAAACTAAATGCTGCACAGTCACTTGTAGATGCCTGTGCTCGTGGCTCTTTTGGTTCCCTATAAAATTTTTGATTAATCTAAAAATGGATAGGCAAACAAATTTGTGACAAATGATAGCAATTAATAGCACAAATAATTATCAGCAACAATAAAGTTTCGAGGTCATGCATCATCTCCAGTTATACAAAGTAATGTAAAGTCATTGACGAACAACAAAAATGTACTTGAAATATCCAGTCTGACTCTTGCTGCTAAAATTATTTTCCTGGTATGTTTTTGAACGATTAACAGATAGAGAAGGTCCAGCACTTTCACTGCATCTGTCTACTTTTTTCTCCTGTAAAATTACTTTGAGAGTGTGGCAGGTATTTAAAGTAACTCAATAAATGTGATGAAAAAAAGTAAAAATATTTACCGATAGTTTAGTACTTTACATGAAAGAATCGTCCACAATGTTAAGTGAGAAAAAGACTAGAAAAAGGAACAAATCAAATGAAGCCAAATGAATTGGCTTACAAAATAATTACATACAAGGAAAATAAAAATAAAACTCACCAAGATATCGGAACGATTTGTGTGAGCACTGGACGACCCATTAGTATACATTGGCATATTGCCCGCAGAATATAGCAAACTATTTGAGAATGGAATTCGACTTCGAAAGTCACGAAGTTCATCATACAGCGGGTTCACCACATCTGTTACAACACTTCTTACTTCGCTGACTACTTCACGTACAATCTCCTTTACAACCGGTACCATTTGAGCACGTACTTCAACAGCTATTGCTGACTTCAACTCTTCACTTACGCCAACAGGCGCATTCTGACCATTTACAATTTGCGCACTCAGCTGATGGATTGCAAAGCCAAAATTTGCCATAAGATTATCTGAAGGTAACGTTACTGATTTATATAGCGTTTTAAACTTCTCACTCCCTCACATATTATATTCCTTACTATTTTGAGAGATCACAAATTCGATTCTCAGAATAGAATTACACTGCAAAGGAAATGCGATCGAAAAGTGATAGCCAAACTATTACACATACACTACCATGAAATCACTACAAAGGAAGATCAAATGTGATGAAATCTGATACGGACATAAGCCAACAACGACATTCTCCTCTTATCATGATAACAGAAGACGTGATATGAAATGGGACTGACTGAGGGAATGGTAGTTGTAGGATAGGATCTGAAAAGGGACGTTACCTTTATGGGGTGTCATCTCATCCCAGCCACAATCATTACTCATCCAGCCATTCCGCGATTTCCACCAGTTAAATGCCTTCTGAAAATAACTTCTGAAAATAATACCATCCTCACACACGCCATACTGATTCAACGTACTCTTTCTCGAAGGAACATACGCATATTAATATGCGTATGCTATAGCGTGATGCACACTCTCGCAGCATGCATTCTCGTGTACACACATCCTTACTGCTTCATACAAGAACAAACACACTCCACACCTACCAGTGACACACATACACATATACATACACACCAATCAGTAAACATTATAGTGGCGGCCAAAATCGATAAGGGAATGATGGGTTTAGGTTTGTTGGAAGTGTTGTGAGAGTAAATTAGAGGATAGTTGAGTTTAATAAAAACGGAGAGGTAATTAATTATTATATGAGTTACTTGGATGACGGTAGACACGAGTGAGAGAGAAATGATAGCAATAATAATGGAATAGGTGTTTCACAAAGCTGTATGCAGTAGTATGCGGAATACTTGCAATGATGTATAATTGTCTCTCGTTTCTGCCACTACATTTACTGTAGTCAAACATGCATTGTCCAATAGTTACTACATTCCATTATGAAAAGATATATCCGGCAGATAGATTGGAATGTCGACCAAGTTAGGAATCATAATAGCAGTATAGCAACATATTATTCCTATGTACTGATAATAAATCATTACCTTCGATTTAACATGTCATAACGCATCATAGAAGATATATGAAGAAAGCCCTTTATTTTACATAAAAATCAAAAAGGAACCAGGTACGCATTACCATGATAAATGTACCACTATAGGAGTGACATACAGCAAAGAAAACTTTACAAGTATATAAAACTGTTCAAATAGCTGTACAACGTGTGAAAATTGATTAGTAGGTAAATTATGATCACTCTGATCATCCTAGAGTTAATCCACTTACATATTCCACCACTTCCTTAATTGATGGATGAAGAGAACAGTGTGATTTAATAGTCGGCGATGAGGCCTCTTTTATGAGATATGCGAGATCAACGTTCAGAACTTAGGTTAGACTAAATGAATGGACAGTCTTACTTTATTGCAACACAAAAACCTTAGTGCAAGTATATTATAAGTGTAACATTTTCAGTGTCACGAGTTTTTCAATAATAGCTGAATAATGAATATTATCAAACGACTACTTTAGTTACTTAGAAACATACTATCAGTTCATGATACTTCAAATTGTTACAAGTGAAAATGTTTCATTGCTCAAGCAGCAAGTCACTGCATACAACTAGAGCAACTTACATTCTTTCATGTAGCAAAATATATGTCACATGTTTTTCATTATACGCAGCCGAAGAATGAAACAAAAATCTTCCTACTTCAAATAATCGTCATAAACAACTTCTTCAAGCACAGATTTGCTATGCAAATCCAAAGGTGCAATATCAAAAAATATCATCAAATGATCCCCGCGTCTTTGAGTATGTAATGCCGATAAAACCGTCTCATTGCCGAATATTTTATTCACACTTCGGCCGCCAACGCGACTCTACAACACATTAAAAGATTTTAATCTTATGAAATTGTTCAAAAAACTTCATTTTTAAAAGAATTTCCATTACAATAGAATTTCCGCTCTGAAGATTATTAACCGATTAGTCATCAGTAAAAATATCTATGAATACCTAATAACCAATACTGGTGAACAATGTATTTCTACATGCTGCGTTAAGTGTAAGTGGTAGAAATAGATGAAAATTTTTTTAAAAACCCTACATAGACATAGAAATGCTCGGGCCGTTGTACAGCATTTGCAGACGACTTTTGCACTGGAGAGGAAGTAATAGTATTTTCAACGGAAAAATCCTTTGATCCCTCAGATGAATTTTTCTGCTGACCTTCTCGATATTCTGCACTGCATACTTGGTATAGGAATTCACCAAGGTGCTCCACTGAAAATGGGAAAAACCACAAATATATTTAACATATCCATGACTGTCTTTGATGGACAACACATATCAAATTAATAAAAAAAGATTAGATTTACAAGCCCCCATAAAAGATAAAACGAAACAAAAACTAAGATAATTATTTAGTTCAACTTTAAACGATCAGAAAGATACTAGTAGTATCCTCTCTTGTTCGAATGTAACGTCGATTCAATAACGATGAAGCTACGCTTGGTCGCTTGAATAGTGATTTTGCAGGTAACAATTCGGCTTCAATCTCAATGAATTCACCATCTGTACGTGTAACCGCAAAGTCAATATCTTCATCGAGCTGGAAATTTTCGCACAGTCAAATGAATTTTGTTCTGTTGTAACAAACTAGGCCTAATATGGAAATCAAAATAAAGCATACGAACAAAAAAAAAAGTGGAAATGAAACTTACTCGTCTTTCTAGTTGTTCACCCATCCCTTCATCGGGAGTTAAAGGTGAGGACGGATTTTCAGCAAGCCATTTGTGCATGCGATCTTTTAGTGTACATGCATTAAGCGGTGGAACAAGAGGGTGACCGTCCTAGATAAATCTTTTATAATGAAGTTTCAAAACATTTCACAAAACATAACTAACATATTTTACAACATTTCTATGAAAATACCAAATTTGCAATAGAATTTGGTCGCGTGGGAGCTGAAATGCTGCTTGATGAGTCAGAAGTGTCCGTAGTGTCAGAAGTATCAGTGGTCGAAGAGAGTGAATCTGAATCTAAAACAGATGAATATTATATCATCTCATTTGTGATTTGTCTTTGACAAAAATATTCTTTAAAAAGAAACCTGTACCGCTGCTTGAAATATCTCGGTGAGAGTGGGCTCGTGAACTGACCGTACCATTAGCAGCTATAAAGGCTGAATTACTGAGATATTTTTTTTCAGAAATCTTACAAGATAGATACAGAAGATATCAAGCCTAATTGTTCTAATTGATGCTACATACTTTAAAAACATTTTTATAAGCTGAAATGTTTTTTGAATGACTTCAACGAAAAGAATGCTCTCGTAATCCTCTAGTCACTTGAAGCAAAATTTAGAAATTTATTTCCAATAGCAAGAACGGAAAAGTTACAACTTCAGTAAGAAACTGACCACTAACAAGGTTAGCAATACTGCTAGTAGAGGTGGGTGCTCCAGAAACCGATTCGTCGTGTCTGAATAAATGATATTTAAAACAAGAAAACAACAATATAATACCAACAGCAAATAGAGTTGAACCTTGTATGCAAATCATTCTCATCGCCTTCACCACTGCCTTCCGGTGAATTACTGTCAGGAGAATTATTATATGAACGGTCATGAACATCACTACGAGGACGCCGTTTCCTTTCTGAAACAAAATTGTTGATGTTGGAGAAACGTTTAAATACAAGTGCATTCAAAACCGTGAACTGTTCTAAAACAAACTTTCGTAGTCGTATGAGCCCTGAACACGTTGGCGACGATTAGCAGCTTGCGCTTTCATGCCTGCTTCAATACTCTTTTGCAGTGCCTCTACGTTGCTTTGTTGATGAAACATTTCCATTGCTTTCTGTTGCATTTGTTCATAAATTTGCCGATCCGGCCAAATCTTTAATGATTTACAGTAGCGTGAAAGTAATTTAAAAAATCAAAAATCTCGGGGGTTATATGAAACTAAAACTTCAAACAGCTCTTCAATATATAAAACAAGCAACTGTTAACCTTATTAATTAAGGCATCAAAGTTCGGATCAGGACGAAGCGACCGTTTAGACACTAATTTTTTCCGACACGTAGGACATTCCTTATTGCCTCGGAGTAACGCAGTTGTGATACATTCGCTGCAAAATCGATGCAAGCATTCCTATAAGAAAATATCCTAATTAGATAATAAAGGTCAAGGAAATGCAAAATTTATAAATAAATATACTGGAGTTATGAACCACGGTGAAAGTTATAACATAAAACGGTTACTTGCCAATTAGAATGGAAGTGCCAAAATACTCAGGGTAAAATAACTTAAATATTAGATGCATAAATCAAAATATGACTTTTGTCGTCATCGTTGTTGTCAACAAATCTAGGCATATTGGACAACAGAGTTCGGATGAAAGCATCCGTGTACTGATTCGTATTTCTGTCGAATCCGAAATGGCTTTGTGTGGACGTCGGAACTGCAAAAAAATTAGATGTTTTTCAAACAAATTAATAAAGAACAGACCTAACATTTTTTGTGTTGAACTATTAAAAAAACGCATTCCTCCAAGTGAATCCGGAAGTGCCACGTACTGAACAAAGTCAAAAAACAAAATAGATGAAAACGGGAGAAAAAAATTTTTAAATTCATAAGTTGTTTCAACTATCTTTGATCTTTTATGTACATCCTTTTTCATCCTTTCTATTCAGATATAAGTGAAGGTAAAATAAGACGGCACCCGATCATATTCGGTGAGTTCAAGAGTTTTACCACCAGTTACTGTATCCGGTACATTGCCGTTATTCATAACTGATAGTGGTAGTGTATTTCTTTCGCAACAAAATCGCTCAATCCATACAGTAATGAATTATCTACAAAGAGAGAAGGCTTTTAAAAGAATTCAGTAATCCTTTACTTTGTCATAACGACAAAAAGATGTATTCCTGTTGTAGAAGGATGATACCATCGCCACCAGTAAGCAACGAGATTAAATAACATCGAATATTGTATGCGCTACCTGGTCTAAAATGAGTTTTTCTGAAAAGTTCTGAAACATACGACAACGAATAAGATCCAGTACCTCTGCGCAGAGATACAGCGAAAATGATTCAGTCGGAAATTTAAAATAAAAAATTTGGATCGGAGTCTTAGCGACAGATTTGATAGCTATCGACAAAAGTTCCGCCATATCTCAGAGAATGCTTACCAACAGCCATTTTTCCACCTTAATCCATTAGCATCACTGAACTTAATCATTCATTCTTGCTCGTTGATTAAGGTGATGACGTCGTTCTGCGTCCGTTGACTACACGTCTGTCACCCACACCGATACACACTCTAAACACAAGTTCCACAGCAATACTCGATGCTACCCTCCAAATGACCCTCAAAGGGAAATAGGCATGAGGACGAGATGCAACTAACAGGAAGTATAATACCCAAAGCTGTTGTTTAGGGCGGGCTGTTGTGCTCACTTGGATTTATGTAATAATTACATGTAATTAGTAGTATATGTAGATTGATTTTTGATGCGATACTTTCTACTTAATCAATACTTCCAACAAAACCTATCTTCATACTTAAATACAAACAAGGATATTTTAGTGTATGTGTACCTTCATATACTTATAGTTGGAGTAGGTAACGACGAATGCAGAAATATAAATCGCGAATAACCCTTGCAAATCATTAAAGGTAGTATCAGAAAAACCTTATTATATGTATTATCTAATGATTTTTTTATTTTTTTTCTTTTGGAATATGCAAGTGTCAAGTTTTTTCTGTTACACGCATTTCGTAGGGATGCATGAAGACATTCCGTTTCAGCAACATTTTCATCGTCTAATGTACATTGTAAAGGATGAAGTTAACATCCTAGATCGAGATTTTTTTTTCTGTTTTTTGGTTTTGCTGCAATGAGATCGAACGAACAGACCAACGAGAATGAAGAAAAAATCGAAGAATTCATAAAAACAACGAAAAAAGATGGAAAAAAGGAAGATGATTCAAAGAACAAGAAAGACAAAGAGAAGGTTTCTACTAATAATATATTCATTTTAGATTATTCTGTTAATAAATCTAAATACATATGTTCGGAATTGCAGCACAAGCATGCTCTATCCTATGATTTACAGGTTGATGCCATCTAATTTTCACTTTTGCACTTTATTCATTTTTCATTGATTCATTCATTTTTCGCACTAAATACAGTTATAAGAACAGTAATGGAATTTCATGATTTTTTCCCTACAATTACAGACAGATAATTAGTACTTACTGGACACTAATTTCCACATTTTGTATTGATACCATTTACATTGAGGTGTCCTCTAAAAAAATCTAAGTTAAAATATCTATTTACAGCGTCGAGATTCCATAACAGGTTCAACTCTGGATACAAGTTCATCAAGTAGTTCTGTAGATTCGGATGAAGTTGACATGACAGAACACAACAACTCAAGAAGTACGATGACTTCTGAAGAATCGAAGCTACAAGTGGACAGGTGGTTTTACACTCTGGATTTTCTGTCGTCATAAATATTTCACCGAAGTTGCCAAAATATTTGCCTAACAGTGAGCTAGGACCTCATGATATCAAGTTCTCTTCCCAGTTGTTCATACTAATTGCAGTTTGAATTATTTTATCGTAAGTTATCGAAGTTTACTAAAAAAAAATGTTTTCTCCACATCCCGAAATCTTTGGTCTGTTTACTTCATCTTACTTTTGGAAGCAGAATGATTGGAAGCAAGCAGTGTCTCAGTAAAAAAAAAAAAACTCTCAGTAAAATCTTTAATGTCAAATTTGCTTATATATTTTAGAAATCTAAGTCGAAAAGTCAACGATTCTGTCAGTGAAGTAATGAAGAGAATTTCGATGATTTCAAATATGGGACTAGATGAACCATCTGAATCAGTTGTGGAATTAAACAACGACAGAAAAAATATGCAGATATTGGAAGCAGATAATGGTATAGATGAACGGAATGGTTTGTTTTCTTTCTTAGGATGAAAGGTGCTAGAACTTAATTCAGAATTTTGTAAGCGAATGATATAAAAGAGCTGAAAGGTTTCGAATGATTGCAATTATATTAGCACCAGAGTAATGTTGAAAATCTCACTTACTAGGCCCAGGCATCAGTGCAAAGAAATCGAGAAAGCGCAATCGGAAGCAAGGTAAAAAAGTAAGTCATAATTTACTCTCTTTTACTTTTTCAAACCAAAAATTGAAATTCTTCCCTTTTATTCTTTTCGTTCTTCGCACGTGTACATGATATGATCTATCCATTTGTAAAGGGAAATTATTTCAACAACTTTAACCTTAGAACTTAAGTTCATTTGACTCACCAAAAGTTTTTTCAGGACAAACGAGACATGCCATCAGATCAAAATGAAATGCTTTCCAATGAAGGAAACCTTTTATGCACAGCCGATGAAGGCGCAAAAAGAGGAACATTAGAGGTTGATTGTTGGATAGCTTAATTCACCGATTTCATGAGAAGTTTAAAAATCTCATTTATTCTGAAAAATTTATCTTGGAAACCAAGTTTTATTCCGTTTGTTAAGAGGACTGGGACGGTTACCATTACTCTCACTTATTATAAACACTGGCTTTAGTTTATTACTAACTTGATAAGCGTTTTCCAGTTTATGTACATTAATGATGCTGTATCAGAATATTGTATATGAGATGTAAGATAATTATTGATTTTGTTGAAACACCTAGTATTTTTCTTTATTACATTCTGACGACTTAATCATTTTTCTACATACGTAACCACCACACTTCGCATAAATTATATCGTGAAGTAATTTCAGACACTGAATGATAGTGTTATGGGTTCTTGTCCAAAACTGGGAGCCTGGTTTGTTTTTATCTTCATTTGCTTGATTTTGGAAAAAGTTTCATATCCAAGTTTTTTACTTTTGATAAGATTGATTGTTTTATTCGAGGTTTTTAGGATGGTAAGAAAAGAAGTTATGAGCGTCGATGGAATGGAGGCGTCGAATTTATTGTATATGACTGATACCAGCAATAGGGTAGGTTGATATTCAAGGCATAGTATATATATTGCAATTATTGATTTTTTGACGATTTGGTCATTTTTCTATCACACTGGTGCTTTAAGGCGTTCATACGTAAAGGATAGCGAAACCAACTTCGTCACGAAATCTTTTTTAGTAATAATGATCCTCGATATTCATTACTTGCATCACAGTATATTTGACTAAGATACTAGCATTATCTTTAAAGATGGTGGGGTGTTCGAATTTTATAAAGTCATGCTTACCAAATACGGAGGAAAAAACCTTCTGTGAAGTGCTAAACTTTTCCCAAAATTGCATTTTCAAGACACAATTTTAAGTTTCAGTTTGCCCAGCGCTTCACTCATTGGATACGAAGTTTTTATAACGCAGCTGTTGATGGTGACATTGAAGAATTCATGATTATGTTTAACTGTATTTTGCAAATTTTGAAAAAGAGTGCTGGTTGTGATTATTATAAACGTATGTCTGGACATCATTTGAAGGAGCATGTGATGAACGTTAGTAATATTCGAATCACTTAATTAGTGGCAGTCATTGGGCGAGTTCAGATAAAAGCATGTAGAGCGATATTTATGCATGTATACAATTTAGTTGAGTGAATACGGGTATAGGAGAAAGTATATGGCATATCTTTAAATTAATCCTACGGTATTAATAGTAAAAATTATTAGGGAATGAAACTTCTGCTCTGATTACAGTCTATTGTTGAGCTAAAGTTAGCTATAAAATTAGAAGTTTCATGTTAGTTACTATTTTATTCATTGCTGTTTTAGTGAAACATTGAAGTGTCACAAATTTTCATTTCGATAGGATTAAAGAACATAAATATTTAACTTTTCAGAATGTTATCTGTGCATTCTTTGATAAATCAGAGAATACATCTATTTTGCATCTCCTTTCACCAACCAAAAATACCGACCGTCCATGTAGTATGAGAAACCATGGTTACTGCAGGTTTTAATTACTTTTCAATTTTGTTAACGATTTGTTCAGAATGAGATAATTTGTTATTCATAATTCTTAGCGGTCGATGCTAGCTATTTTAATAACTTCATAGTCGATTGCATGATAATTTTTTCTACTACATCTTACTACTTGACGTGGGTAGCAATGATATCACTTGCAAGAGTAATTTTATTTTTATCTGTCCTTGTGATAAAACCCTAATTTGATTTTTTTAATTTGTCTCACCATGTAAAAATAGAATTGGTTTTTACAGATCTTTTATGATGTTTTTCAGATTAATTAAAATGATTTTGAGTATGTTACCGTGGAAAAGTCGGAGAATTTTACTTGCTACATCTACAAAAAGAACAGGAAAAACTGCTTTGCATTTGGCAGCTGCTACAGGACAGCCTTGTCAAATGCAAGCTTTGATGGATTTTGGTATACATTTTCACATGAATTTGCACAAACACTTGTTGATATAAAGAAAAGTGTTCTTCAATTTTCAAAATATAAGCTTTTAAAAGTAGTTAACACTTTATAAATTGTCTTAAAATCGAAGGAATCATTTTCTTCATTCCAAATGTTTATTGACTCAGTAATTTCATAAAGTTTTTATTTGGTTATTTAAATATTGACTGCAGTTCTTCAGGAGCTTGGCCAGATTTCTTCGACCATTCTGGGCGTGCACCAATACATTACGCAATTATGAGGAATAACTTAGAAATAGTACGTTTTGTTTTAGTGTGACGAAAATTTTTTTCATCTTAAATTTTTTCATCAATTTCATCTTAATTATCTCAATTTTGCGATTTTTTCCTGTATTTTACAACAAGGGATGAGGTTAAATTTTTTTAAAAGTTTTTTCTAAGTTTTATCTTGAAGTCTATCATTAAATAACACAAAGTTAAAGGGTTATGTTGGAATAAAATTGATGTAAACTGTTTCATAACAGGGAATTAATTCGTATTTGTTGAAAATCTTATTGAAAGATAAAGAGTGACTTCATTCTAGGTAAAATTGCTTCTGTGGTATGGAGCAGACATATCATTAAGAGAGCGTTCGGCGACACCTCTACAACTTGCAGGCTATTCACCAACAACCACATCGGTATGTTTCATTTCGAAAATTATGTGTGAGAATTTTGCTTACTGGAATTTTATGATGTGATAATACTAAAGAATCGAACAGTTAGACGTTGTAGATATGTGATTACCTGCACGCGCGAGTTAATGCATTGGAAAAAATATTTATGCAATGGATCAGGAAGTATGTGAGAGGTGTTTGGACACCTGTACATGCTATTTCTGATTTGCATTTTGCAAGATTATCAAAAGCATGCGATTCAGGAAGAGATGCATCCCGGAATTTCACGACCAAAAATGTGAATTTTGTTTGAAATACATAATCTTAGCGTTTGTTAATAAAGTGATTTTTTCCAGCTCATCTTTTTATTCGCTTTTATTTAGTCGAACTTACTACTACATCGTTTTATAAAAAGGAATCTTAGGTCGACCACAGTGAAACCTTCGAGATAGTATACCATAGCCACATTATAAATTCTTTATGAGATTTTAGGGATTTAAGTTCATTGTTTCGTTTGATCAGCACACTTTTTTAATATAAAGTTCATTGTTTTATCTAATATGTGCATTTTTTAGCGTAAAATTCATATAAATATTTCGAAGACACGCAATGGTAACCCACAGCTGAAGAAATGTCCGTTAATGGTAAGTCTCTCGAACTGAGTATTAGTAAACTTACTGTGTATTAAGGATACATATGTGTAAATAACAATTGTTTTACATTATATGTTTAGTAAACCTTAATAAATTTTTTAAAGTTACTTTTCATTGTACCAACATTCTACAAAGGAGAAGACAGAATAGCAGATGCTTCTAATCCACAGATATTTTGTGCAAAGATGCAAAATGTAAATGGCTTTGTTGTTAAATTACTTCCATCGAGGCCACTGTAAGTTCTTACTAGTTTGTTTTCACTCACGCTTTTCATTTGTATAATTTTAAAACTAACTCATTTTGCTATTGAGAGTTTTATTTTTCACTTCAAAGATTGTTTCAGATATTTGAAAAAAAAAACTATTTTATGAAGATTATCTTCATCTCTATTTCCAAACTGTTTCAGATTAAGTTGCTCGAAATGGAGTATTGGTATCAAGTCAGCCCTCGAAAAACCTCATAATGGATATTTTTATGTCTATAAACTGCCGGAAAATATTGAAGTCGGTAAGTTGCATCCTAAAATTATGTCTTTTATTTTCCGAAGCATGTGAGGTTCTAAATAGAAATTTGCAATTTTTTAGATTCATACACACTCCACTTAATGGTAGAATTAGAAGAACTACGCTTTCAAGCTCCTCACATTACGCTTGCAATACAGGCTTTTGCATGTGGTCCACCAGATTTGGAACATTATAATGAACTGCGAGGTTTCGTAACTCACTCGAACAACAAGACCAAAACGGACTGAGGTTTATAAATATAAATTACATGTATTTTTGAATACAGTTGTATTTTCCGTTTTTAAAATTAAGGTGCTTAATAGTTTGTTTTTTTCATATGGCTTGTTTAGTAATAAGTAATGAGTTTTTTGTGCTGACGGTTTTTAATACCGAAGTTTTTCCAACGATTTATTTAAATAAAAGTTGATAACTGTATGTGAAAAACTAATTTATTATATCATGTTTAAATATCACTGTGTAAATGGTTGCTGATATTGCTCATTTGATTTCTTATGGCTCTTTTTTTTACATTATTCGGAAGAAATATTTTTCTTTATATTTTGAAAAACCATATCTGCTATAATTCAACTTTAGCAGTAATCTTTCTTCATATTACTGCTACAGTTTTAGATCATTTGAATTCTGCTTCATGTATATTTATTATAATAAAAATTTTATTATGTACTTATTCGTTACGGATAAGATTTGTATGGGTTGGTATAGAGATTGAAACTTTTTTGTATTTATTGCGTGAATTGTTGATGGAGTTGAACTTAAGTCTGCTTCATTGCAGTTCCTTCTCTTCGTTTTGTGTTGATTCGCTTTTGTTCCTTTCAAATCGAACTTGGACCTTTAATTACTCTATTCTATCGTTGTTTAAATTAAAAGTTCTAGAAACAACCATTTGTGAATTGTCAAAATTCATTTTTGTTATTGGGTATGGAATCGTCCGATTACTGCGTAGTTGAAATAAGAAGTTGATGAGTGTCTCAGTTAAAATTCTTATTTCTTACAAATTTGGAAATGGAGTAATTCCCTCAGTACCAAACAATGGTTCATTCAATGGTGAGTCCTAGTAATTTTTGTCTTTTTTATTGTAAGTTATTATATATGCTATAAGCTTTCGAAAAAAATTTATTGACTTCATGTACTCATTCTTTAGGATTTGTTTATTTTTAGAATTCCTGAAACTGAATATTAGTTTCAAAGTTTTCGAAGTTTTGTTGAACTTGAGTTGGTCAACCTCAAAATTTCCTGTCATTAATTTATTGTAGAAATCCGGCTTATCCTTTTACTCGCTGTGGATTTTTCTCTTTGTGAAATTTGAGCTAATTTCAAATTGTAAAGAATTGTTTTTTTTTTTTTTTTTCGTTGTGCTTAAAGGTTATTTATGCATGATAAACTTTCCAACTCATAGTAATGTTTTTTTCGAAAATGTTATGTTTGGATCTAGGCGCTTTTATTTCTTTATTAAAGGGTTACAGCTTAGTTTTGTGTATAAAACTTCTGAAGGAATTCTGAATTCTTTCATGGCTATTCTAAAATGGATTTCAAGATGAACAGAACTTCTGTAATTTTGGCCAGTCTTGATAATTGCTTCCTTCGCAATTCGTATGTCAGCAAGTGTAAGGATTATCGATTTGTTAAGGACGCAGCAAATATGGAATAGAACGTTTCTAACAAACTTTATTTCCAGCCCGTTTCGGTAAGGTTGCAAAGTAATGGGAGTGGATGAAAATACTGGCAAATCGGATCACAAAATCCATCGAGGTAATATGTTTGATAAAGTTTTACATGAAGAGGTAGCTATTTCATAGTGTACCCGCTATACAGGTTAACAAGATTTCCTTTTGCAAGTGTGGTAAGGATTTCTTGACTGTAAAGCTGTTTTCCCGTAACTGCTGAGTTTGGCTTAATTTTCATTGTTTGTTGAAGTGACTAAAGATGTGTATTTTGGTGCTGTGATTTGCGATTAGAAGTTTAAGGTGTTAGAAGTACTGTTATTCGTATCAGAGTACTGCTGCAAATCAATCAGTTTTTTAAATGCATGAAATATGACCTATAGTAAATAACTCCATAATATAAAATAAGTTCTTAACTGCTGAAAATTGTGAATGAAATGTATTATCCGCAGTTTCTGCATTAGTACAACTGCAGGAATTGATTTTAAGTGATAATTTATGGCGTTTCTTATTCTATAAAGCTGAAATTTCCTTTCCATATCGAAATGAGCAATTTGTCCTTAAGCATCGTTGTTTGTGTACTAAATAAATTTAGGAGAGTACCCTTATGAAAATAAACTTTATTTTCGTTTGTTCTTAATATTTGTTTTCAATACTAATGACATGAAACTATTTAGTACATAAAGTTGGTGGAAAAGCGAGGAAAAAAGCTGTTAAAAAAGGAAATGGAGTTAACGCAAAAGCTTTCACATTTCAGTCTGCTGTTAAAGCAAGTCGCGCTATTCGCAGGTATTTTTTTTTTTTTTTTGTTAAAATTATGGAAACCTTTTCAAGTGATTAATATTCCAGTTGTTCGTATGAAAAGGCTTGAACTGCTTTCCAAATCTCACACAGTTTGTGATAAATAGTTCTAAATCTTTGGAGAAGTTTATTAGTACTTTTTCAGAGCAGCAGATAAGGATGAAAGGAAGAAACATATACCGGTAGTCGATCGCAGTCCAGTCGAGCCACCTCCAGTCATTGTTGCAATCGTTGGTCCTTCAAAGGTGAGCATAATTTAAATTAGGCAGTCATTTTTATAATTATGAATTAACTACTGGATTCATGGTTATGACTAAAAACACTCCACTGCCACGAGTTGGAACTACTCAGTTTGGTTTTCTTTTATATTGTATTTAATCCGAATGAATGTTGGATATTTTCACCCTATCGGTTTTTTTTTTTTTTTAAGGTTGGAAAAAGTACGTTGCTGCGGTGTCTAGTAAAGCATTATGTGAGACATACCATAACTGAAATTCGTGGACCAATCACAATTGTTACTGGCAAAACTCGACGAGTGACATTCGTCGAAGTGAATAATGATTTAAACTCCATGATCGATATTGCGAAAGTTGTTGACCTTGTAATTCTTTTCTTTTTCATCAACTATATTAGTATTGCAATTGCAAAGTATAAACCTGAAAAGTATTTTACTTAGCACTAGTCACCGAGATCTTCTAGTAATGATCCTTGTAAAATAACTTTTAAAGCCTATATATTCAATAATTATTTCATAACGATACTATTCTAAGGCTTTCTACTTAATGTCAAGGTTTTCATAACTTATGTTTCATATTTTGAAAAGATAAAGTGTTGTCGCTCTCGCATTTCAATAAAATGACAAGTGTAAAAGTTAGTGTACTAAGTAATATAAGTTTGTTTGGAAATTGATTTTCCATTTTTGATTTTCATTGTTAAATAACTATAGGTTTTGTTGATGGTGGATGCTTCTTACGGATTTGAGATGGAGACATTCGAATTTCTAAATATATGTCAAGTACATGGAATGCCTCGAGTCATGGGTGTTCTTAGTCATCTCGATGTAATTAAAAAGAAGGAGAAATTGAAACGTACCAAGAAATTGCTGAAGCATCGCTTTTGGACGGAAGTTTACCAGGTTATTGTTTGAATGATATGTTATTACTTTAATGTTTGATCTGAATACCTCATTGCTATGCTTTACTGAATATCTCACTGTTATGCAGACTTTTGAATGGATTTCGGGAATTTAGTCGTAATGAGGAGTATTGATATTTTGGAATTAAGTACTCAAAAAAATAATAAAGCTGACATTAACTAAGATTAACAAAAGTTTCTTCCGTGAATCCAATATATAACTTTCATTATAAGTAATACTGGATGTACATTTAAGTTATTTTACAATTTTACCTCTGTCTTGCTGCTCATTCTTATCTCAGAATTGATAGTGTGGTGTATCATCTTTACAGGGTGCAAAACTATTTTACCTGTCGGGAATGATCAATGAGCAATATTTAAGAAATGAAATTCGAAATCTTGCACGTTTCATATCTGTCATGAAGTTTCGTCCTTTAGTGTGGAGAACTAGTCATCCGTATATTTATTGTGATCGTTACGAAGATTTGACCGACCCAGAGGTATATTAACATGGGCCAAAAATGAAGTTCTTCGGTTATTTTGGCATTCTGAATAATAGATTTATGAATTTTAAAGTTTCGCTAACAATTATGATTATATATGTATATTTCATGTTAAATGTGGACAAAAACAATTTATTTCTGCTGCCGTAAGCAAATGTTGGCTAGCTACGCATATTGCTTATTTCGAAACAAGACTATATTGGCAGATTTACAGATATTCCCACAATTGTAAATCTGATTGCAATACATTATTTTAGAATTAATTTCAATTTCAACTTTAAGTTACTTCGCGAAAAGCCATTGGCTAACCGTACGATTTCGTTGTATGGTTGGGTACGTGGGACGTTTCTCAAAAATCGTTCTGCTGTGCATATTCCTGGAATAGGCGATTTAATCATAAAAGATGTATGTTTGGATTATCTCGTAATTACCAAGTGTTTTTTTTTTTTTTACTCAGTCTTATTTTTTATTTTTTCCTAGAAGTAGCCAGTAACGATATTATAATTAAGCATTTCAATTACGTATAGGTGACAGTTTTACCGGATCCGTGTCCGCTGCCATCAAAGGAAAAGATGAAACGTTCACTGAATGAAAAAGAGCGTATTATTTATGCTCCGTTTTCTGGTCTTGGTGGTATCGTTTACGACAAAGTAACTTTTCATTGCATTTTTTTTTCTTTTTTCATGTCGATCGAAAGAAATGGGTACCATATTTCATGCATATCCTATTCAGATAAATTTAAATATCTTTATCCAATAGTCTTTTGACAGGCTTTGAAAGAGATAATTCGAATAGATGATTTTTTTTTTTTTTTTTTGTTGCTGTATGGTTAATCAGAAAACGTGAAATTTGAAAATGCATTAACGAATAAGTTAAATAGTAATTTACTAAAATTCTCGCTGACGCTAATTTGATGGGATTCTCGAGTTTCAGCGTTTGGTTTTGGAATGAACCTTTCTGGAAGTTTTTATTTATCATTTCCTACTCTTTCTATTAATTTGCTGTATCTCGTCAGGACAGAAATTATCTTTTTCATTTTTATGAGTTCCAGCACAACTCTTGTTTTTCAAACAGTGTTTTGCTTCAGGATGCTATTTATATTGAAACGGGTGGTTCACATTTATATAAGAAAACTCGACACGAACTCGTTGAAATATTGGAAAATGTTAAAGAGGGTATTGATGATAAGATGCATAAAACAGCATTGAAAGTGGTTACAAATTCCCAAGTCACTATACCTCATAGCGAGAGTGGAAGTGAAATGGATGATGGTGGTGAGAGATTTTAATTAATTTATTCAGGAAACTCAGAAGATGTGATTTCATAAACTGTAAAAAATTATTTTTTTCTGATGAGTTTTTCTTCCACAGTGATAAATACATGGTGTAAAAAATTATAAAATTATCTTTCAATAATAAAAGATAATTCATGCGAACTACTGACTTTTTAACCAGATATTTTCTATAATTAGATTGTTATACGAAGGACGAAATGGAAAGCACTGATGAAGAATCGAGTGACTTTGACGATTCAGACATTGAAAGTGATGTAACTGAGAATGAAAAGAATGAGAAAGGTTATGAAGAAAAGGGCATTAAGCGTTGGTCTGAACTTTGTATGCGAGCAAAATTATTATACAGTGAAAAAAAATCGACGAGACTGAACTATGCTAAAGTTGTGTACTCTGATTCTGGTGAGTTTTTCTTCCACAGTGATAAATACATGATGTCCCGAAATATATTTCCATATCCTCTTTTGTTAGTTGTTTTATATGAGAAACGCTGATACATATATGAAGCCATACTCTGTCGCATAGATACAATCAATGTTAAGCTTTAAGAATATAACATTAAATTAGATTGCAATGGGTTTTTTTTTTCTTTTTTTTTCTTTTTGAAACTTGATATTAACGTGGAACTCGAAAGATGAGTAATGTGGTAATAATCATTCTTATCGTTAGACCTGCATGATCAGAATGAAGAAAAACAAGATCAAGTACTTGGTGGCCTTTTTAAAGTCTTGACTCGATCAAAGAATACTATTGATAACTTGGTTAGTTTTCTTAAGTTATTGTTTCAAGAATTGGAATGTTCATTTTATCGCTTTACTGTTGGAATCTAATGATGTGCTTGAGTACAGTGGATATTTTGTTCATTATTACTATATTTTTTTTTTTACAGGAAGATGGTTTTCTCTATCATAAACCGTCAACAATTACATCCCAACAGCTATTTAATCAACGTGACTGGGATGATTTTGAGGTTTGTTCATGCATGTTAAATGTTTACTTTGTATTAAATGTAGTAAAAATAATGCTTTTATAATTTCTTACTAGCATATGAAAAGCTTATTTGAAAACTTAGGAAACATAAGTTTTCGTAGTGAAAATTGTTTTTTATCCTTTTTACTACATTAAATCTTATTTCATTTAGGTTCGTGCATCGATTGCGGATTGCTTTGTTACGGGAAATTGGAGTCCTGACGAAGATGCTATTATGCAATTAGAAGATGGTAATGTTATAAGTAAAATTATAGAAATAGAGTGAAATAGGTATGAGTTATGCAGCAGTTCTGAAGAACACTGCCATTATTGTTCGATCTATCGATTAATCACTTGATAATCAACTTTCTGTTCAGAAAAGCGTATTTCAGGTGAAAGAGGTGGTTCTGGTATAAACGACAAAGATTACGACCCTTCTATCGAAGGCAAGTGTTGTTTCTTTTCTTCTATCGTATCAAGTGATAAGATAAAAGAAAAGTTTTCAAGTTTTCTAATCTTCTTTTTACAGCTAGTGAAGATGAGATTGACCATGTTGACGAAACTGGAGAAAATATAGATCCTGCAGCAGTAACAGGGAGAAGTGACGAGGAAGCAGCTAAAAAAAGAAAAATTGAGAAAGAAAAGTTGAAAAGCCGTTTCAACGCTGAATATGACGAAGCCAACAAACATTACGTACAACTGAAAGAAGAGCTTGAAGAGCAGTCGAAGGTGTGCTATATTTTTTAGTATTTACTATGTAATAACTTTCGAATTTGATTTAGTTTAAATTAACAGAAGCTATTTGCGATTCTCAAGTAGTTAGCGTTACTGTAAAACCAGTTTTTGATTCAAACCAACTGAGAAATTAAATTACTAATTTCTTTCAGCTCAATAAGTCAGTCTTTGAAGAGATGGATGAAACAGCTCGGTTACAGTTAGAAGGTTTCCGACCGGGGTTATATGTTCGAATAGAATTCGAAGATGTACATATGGAATTTTTACAGCATTTCGATCCAACCAGGCCATGTATTATAGGTGGCCTTCTTACCGGTGAACAGAATATTGGTTCTGTACAAGTACATTTTCTTTCATTTTGCTTTTGTCATGGATGTTATTCATAAATGGTTCTATTGTTGCATTTTATTATGTTATGGGTTTTTATAAGTCACAGATCTTCATACTGATCTCAAATTTTGATTTCCAGGTGCGAGTGAAGAAACACAGATGGTATGAGCGGTTGTTGAAGTCACGAGACCCTCTTATTATATCATGTGGTTGGAGGCGATTTCAAACTGTTGTTAGTCATTTCCTCTCTTTGTTTCTTCATAGACTTTGTACATTACATATTCTGAAGGAAAAAAATTCAAGTAAAATTGTTTTAGATTTTACAATCTTGTCTTGAAACATTATTGCTTCGAAGTCTACAATTTTTTTTGATTTTTCCTTTTTCCTCTTTTGATAATAGATCTTACTGTATATAAGTAACCTTTAAATAATTTTGAGGTTTCAGGTCATATATTCGATACAGGACCATAACATGAGACAGCGTTTCTTGAAATACACGCCAGAGCATATGTTCTGTCAGGCAGTCTTTTGGGGACCAATAACAGCACAGAACACAGGATTCCTTGCTGTACAATCGCTAAGTAGAAATGTGGTTTGTGAATATATTATTGAGTTGGACTAAACACATATGTTAACGAGATTTTAGTATATGTGTTAAAAAAATTTAATTTGTGATCCTTACATGAGGTCATATTTTAAACTCAGAATTTATTTAATTTGTAAATGATTTCATAAAGATGAAGTTGAATATTTCTTCTTTCAGAAAAGCTTTATCTTCTTCCATCTTCTTTCAGAAAGGCTTTAGGATTGCTGCAACAGGTGTTGTATTGAATCTAGATAAGGCCTTCCAAGTTGTGAAAAAACTGAAGCTTATTGGTCATCCATATCGGATATTCAAGAAGTCGGCTTTTGTCAAGGTTCCTCTATTTCTTTTGAGTCGTTTATTCGCCGTATTTATTATTTTACTACATTTGTTTATGCCACAACTTCTTCAAACGCAACTTTCTTGAGCGATGTTGTTTTCGGAGGTATGATTGCATGGCTTGACCCTTTCAGGGAATGTTTAACACTGTATTGGAAGTAGCAAAATTTGAAGGCGGTATTATACGCACAGTTAGTGGTATTCGTGGTCAAATCAAAAAAGCGTTACGTGAGCCAGCTGGTGCGTTTCGGGGAACTTTTGAGGACAAAATTCTCATGAGCGATATAGTTTTTCTTCGCGCTTGGGTGAATAATTCTTTTATCTTTTTCTTCAACAAGTATTGATTTAAAAATTGCTGACAGTATATGTTACTGATTTCGTTTGCTATCTTCTAATTTAAGAATCAGTACTGCACTACATTTTGTTTTCAGGTATCTGTGCCTGTACCTCATTTCTATACTCCTCTAACAGATCTTTTATTACCATTGAATCAAGAATGGGTGGGTATGAGAACAGTAGGTCGCTTACGTTTTGAAATGGGTTTGAAACCGCCGTTGAAGATGGATTCATTTTACAAAGTAAGGACTTTGTTTTCAAGAGTTTCTTTGACAATTTTTCTTAATTTGTGAACATTATTATGATAGAACATTTTTTCTTATCAATTCTGGTCTTTTTGCAGCCAGTGGAAAGGCGACCATTTAATCCGGCACCGTTGCTTATTCCAAAAACACTCCAGAAGCAACTACCATATCGATTAAAACCAAAAGTTGCGAAAGAAATCAAGAAGACGGGTGACAAGCTTGTGGAGAAGCATAATGCAATTATATTAGAGCCGCATGAAAGCAGGGTGAACTCGTGTTTTCTATACAAATTTTTGTAGTGTCTTGTATTATTTAAAACAATTTTTATTTTATCTAAATATTATCTAAAATAATTTCAAGATGATTATGAATTGATCTATAATAGTGCTTTAGATAAATCGATTCATGGAAATACTAGATACAGTACATATGGAAAAAGTGAGGATAGAGAGAAAAGCAACGGCACAACGTGTTAAAAAACATCGCATAGTAAGTTTTTTGTTGTATAGAAGTTTTCCATGCAGCTCTGTAGAATTTCCTTAATAAGACTACTGAAATTATGATGGCTTTTGTGACGGCCTTTACTTCTATGTGAGTCATGCTTACTAAAGATATGTGGCGTCGTACAGCTAGTATTCTTTCATTCTTCTATTTTAAGTGTTAAGGTCGTTGTCTGAGTAGCAATTCTATGCACTTGCTTTTTCTGCGCAATGTAGTTTTTTTAAACATTAGCTGGCTAATTCACTTCTCTTTTTCTTATCAGTTCTCATTTAACTTAAATTTCTACAGGAAATGGCAGCATTGGAAGTACAACGACAATATGGAATAAAAAAGACAAAAAAAAAGATTTGCCGTTCATTTTCTAAGCGAGAACAGGTGAAATTACGCAGAGCACTGGATTCAGTTAGCAACAGTAAATAAAGATGCTTTCTAGCAACTTCTGAACGCGGGGAATTCTTTGAATGTATTTTTATTTTTTGGTGTTTTAAGCCATTGTTTTTCGTTCGTCTACCTTATTTTTGATTGAATAAAATTTGAACTGAAACATGTAGTGTCTCCATTTGTCTATTGCCAAAACTTTCCAAATACTGCTTTCTGTGAAATATTAAAAGAAATTTATGAAAAAATTCTCTTTTTTTTGAATTACTAGACTGAACAATTGTCTTTTATTTGCCAACTGCGTAAGTGGTAGGCATAATTCAAGTTGCCTTATAAAGTCAAAATACCTTTGCTAAGGTATTTTGACGGTCTGAAGAGTCCATGGTGATCTGCTCCTTTACAAAATCACATGATCGCTTTGATATTAAGATTTTCGCTAATTTTTCTGATTTTTTGGAAGAACAAGCATTTTGAATATGGCGCAGGATGTAAACTTTTATAATTCAGGAGTCGACACATTGCTTGGATTTAAATGTTTGGGTTGGGACCATGGTGGTTCAATTTTTCGCAGTTTCATCGATCTGAATTGACAGTAGATAATTTGATATCAGTTCCATCTCCATACACTGAATTGACAATTTTTGGGACTTTTAAGGCTGCTGAATTTTTGTCGTTTGTTGGTATGTTTAGAACATTTTTGAAACCGATGAGTCTGGAAATCTTGTCACTATTTTCGGGTATTAAACTATTTTGGACACTGTGTTTCAGATCTTTCTATTTCCTTTTGAAATTCTAGCATTTTCAATTTTTCTTTTCTTTAAAGATACCATCCTTTTAGGTGGCTGCATAACACATCCAATATACCGGCTCTTTCTTCTAAGAAACTTAACTCCCGAAACAACTACCAATAATTCGGCTAAAATAATTAGAAGCAAATGTCGAAAAATACAGGTATACACAAATAACTTTGTACGGCTTTAAAAACCGTTTCGGAAATGAATAATAAAACTATATTCCATGTACTGTAAAATAATTGGGTTCGTTTCTTGATTGGTTTCTTGAACGTTTTTTAACTTTCTTTTCAGTTGAACCTAGATTTATTGTTGTTCTGTACAAAGAATGTAAAAAGAAAAGTGTTGCTAATGTGTCATTTGAAACTACAAAATTGGCAAAGATGAGAGAGTATCAGTAAATTCCTTTGAAAGAATGTCATTCCACTTACAGGGACGATTTCTTCTGGCAAGTTTTGTTGTTGGACCGTTGAGTACGCTAGCTTATGTCACTTATTACTCGTTAGATAGAAAAGATGCGAAGGATCTGTGCTATCAGATCAGATGCAGCGAACAAATGATGACTTGGGTAAGTCATCTTATCAACGAAACTTAAATTATGATCTGCTCCTGTCAGAATAAATACCGGTTCATTTATGAAGCAATTAAATTCATATTTTGCTGGTTTCATCTCCCTCTGCACAAAAGCTACTGCGGTGATTTGTATGAGTTTTTTCAAGTTATGTGAAGTCAAATAACACAAAGCTTTGGAATTAAAAAGGAAAAAGAAAGTTGTTTTCAGTAGTGTAAGCAAATGCAATTGTCGTGAGACAAAAGAGCGAAATAAAAGATACCCTAAATGAATTTCAGGATCGCACCGCTATTTTGCTAGGACTTATTGGATGGTATTGGAAACGTTTTAAAGGAGCTGTTGATGGAATAAATGTTGCATCAGTCTGCACTGCTTATTATTTCACAGTATGCATTTCTTTATGTTTGTTAATTTGCATTTCTTATAATTTAGCTTCATTTATATAATTATTGTTTCGTAACTCTTATTTTATTTGTAGGCTTATTGCGGAGAAAGCGATTTCTATTTTCTTGTGCTGGAATAGTCTTTTTTGATAATATTTTCTTCATAGTGAAGTAATGCTAAATTTGATCCCTTCTTTTAGGTTCAAAAACGATTAACAAATGCATTAACAACAGATAAAATCAAACCATGGCAGCGACCAAAAAGTCTCGAGGAAGTCAAAGCAAAGAATCTCCCCTTCCTAGCACAAATAGCTGCAGAAGACAGCAAATCAGTTGGTTCGGCTTCGACTTCATTGCCCATGCAAACATCATAACTATATGATATTTGTTCTATTAAATGCTGAATAAAACACTAGGTTGGGTCGGAGTTATTCTCTCACCACAGTGATAATGAGTAAAAGTACATATAAATGTGGCAGAAAACAGAATTTGATTATTTAAGAGAAACTTCCTACTTATCTCCGCAGGTTCCTCAATCAATGACGGCTGACGTCTTCCCTAAAGTTATCACTTGGAACTGTTCTTAGGGAAATTCTTGTCCATCGAATGTTGAATTCTAGCCATACTTTGGTGGAAAAGTCTTACATTTTCCCAATCTTGGTAAGCAAGGAAAATTATGTGTAATTTTGCAAAAGATGAGCAAAGCATAAAGAACCGATGCTTATTATTTAGATTTCATCCATCTCTCAAAGCACTTTCGCAGCAATTCATTTATAAGCAAAATTAGATGAAGGATAATTTTAATTCACTTCTCCAACATTGTGAAATTACTGGAAATGAGAATGCATCAAAAGGCTACATCTTATTATGTACAAATAAATGAAATGCTCAACAAGGAGAAACAAATGAGCGCAGGACAACAGATTTGGAAAACTAACGCGCTATGCAGTAATTAGATGAGAGGTAGGTGCCAATAAACCTGAAATCCAACATCAGTTGGGAAATTAATTTCTTGAAGAACAACGCTAATGTAGATGTAAACCATTTCAGCAACTAATATTTTGGGACAGCAGATCCGATACCGGAGTATTCTTGTATACTACATAATTTGAATTATGAAAGAAATGAATCAAGTGAAACACGTTGATAATGCATATTGAGAACAAACTCTTAGGTTTCGACAGAGGATACTAGTTACGAAAGTTTAATTAAAAGTAGGACGGAACAAAACACTTAAATACAGATCATTTCAAGTATAAGCAAGAAAACAATTACACAAAAAAAACTTCAGTTATCTCAACATTTTAGCCTAGTCTACCATCCCTCATTTCTGGTTCGATGAAGCTGAACTAGTACCAGTAGCAGTGTCAGTATCGTCTATGAATGGATTTTTTGGCCGTCGTGGTTTCATTGTGGAAACATAAATAATTGGAGATCGTGCAGTAATGGATGATGAGATCGACAAGGAATGAAGAATGCTATGATGTTGCGGCGAACTGTTCGGTGACAAGGACTGTTCCATTATTTCGGTCAATTCTGGAATTATCTACAGATTAGTTTACCTGCAAAAAATTCATGCAAAGACCTTAAAAATATTCCATTAGTGCATAATAGAACGAAGTTTGAAAGCTTTTTAATATAAATCATATATAGAACCCTAAATTCTTGATCACTCATTTCTTAAACTGATAGAAATTTGTAACACATGCTTACCTTATACCTGATATGTCGTTTTTTTTTCGATACTCTATCTTTGATGTCTCACGAATTTAACAAAATAACAAAGATAAATATGTTCAACAAAAAAAAAAAAAAAAAGAAAAATGAACGAAGGAAGCAGTACGCCAAAACATGTTGAAGAATTTCAAAAATTTTGCATGTACTAATCAAATATTTATTGTATTTAAATTGTATGAGGCAAAAATTTAAAACGAAAGAATATAATTAAATAAAATCTCTTAAACATTTTATAGTTATCGTTCATAAATGAAGAACATGTAATAAGAGAAGGAAGGTTCCACAATATTGTTCTTATGATTAATAATTCAGAGATTTACACAATAACGACCCTATAATTGTTAAAGATGACTTTTTTAAGGCTAAAGATTTGTCGCTATTAAAGTTGCATCGAATTAGAAAAGTTTTGTGTATAATGAATGCCACAGAAAGAATCAGACCTATATAAGCAACTCTTACATTTGCTTCATATGAGGGTTGATTGTGTAACTCTGTTTTATTCTTCTCTTTCTAGTATTATTTTCAAATCCGTAGAATGTGGCATTATCGATGGGTTCACATATCCCGAGTCACCATGACATGATGTTCGAACGAATGACCGTTCAACTCTTTGTCGTCGTTCTTCTGATCTGCTTCCGTTTAAATAATGAAGCTTGTTGCAGCTAAACTGGCTTGGAGATCTCCCCACTAAACGACCATTACTAAGACTGACTGCAAGTTTCTCAAGAGATTTATCAAGCCTAGCTTGAGAACGTCGCATAACTCGCATTTCTCCACTCAAACGACGAGGTGTCTTCGAAATGTTTTGCTTTTGGATTTTTGCGAGTCTGTTGCGTGTTGCGGGACGAAAATTCTTGCACACTTCCACACCGACCGATGTCGCTAATGCTGCAATCTCTATCTGTTATGAAAAATTTGCTTTAATGCCGTTCCTCATAGCAAAATAATAAAGCTGATTAATTAACTGAAAACATGGGGATTTGGAGTTTTGCTGGCAAACATTCCAAATAGGTTCCTAAACGTTTGGGTAGTATTGGAACAATATCGTTGGGTTAATCAGCAACAACATAAATCTCACCAATAACATTTGACGAAATGAACATTTCATTAGGAATAATTACAAAAAACGTGAACATTCCAATAACTTGACAGGTAGCACGCATGATAAAATGAAAAAAAAAAAAAAAAACATTAACGAAAAAAAAAAAAACCACATAAATATTAGAGTGTCAAATAAACAGGCAGTGAAATAATTTCGGATATTCTGTGATTAATGATGCATTTTATTATACGTTTCGTGAAAGTTTTTTCAGGTGTGCTGCTGATACATACTCACAAGCATAATGCCTATTTAGATGTAAAATCTTACCTTCAAATTTCTTAGCTCGCCTCATTACAATCTTTCGCGAAGGTGGAGACACATTCCTTCCAGCAATCGGTTGTAGACCATGTGACGCGGGAGGAGCAGAAAGTTTCTGAAAAGAGGAGGATGCATATTTACCATCTTGCCAGTGACGTCCTGTTTTGAAACCCTGCAACATAAACTATCTATTTCGAATAAAATGGGGTAAAAGTCGAAATCTCACTTTGGATACTGATGAATTTTATAAATGAATGAATTTATAAATCAAGAGATTGATGAATTGCATAAATGAAAAAGCATGCCTGTTCTGGAATAGTTTTTTGTGTTTCCAACCGAGCGAAATGACTGACGCGTTGTCTCACCATACCACGATTATTGGATTTTATAGATAAGACACTGGGTCGTAATCCTGATGGCATATACGCAGGACCTGCTAGTATATCCTAAAATTATTCAAGTTTTGCATAATTTATGTTAAAATTCTATCAAGTCTCCAATAGTAAATCATATCATTACTTTATTTTCTGCGATATTTAAATTACACTTTATGCCCAGAAATAAATAAAAGCATGTGTAGACCGGCTTACATCTTCACTTCTTGCATTTAAAAGCTGCATTTTGATGGCATCAGACTTTGAAAAATCCTCTTCGAAATCACTTGGTCGACTACTGCCTTCTATGCTATTCTAAAATAAAAATTAAAGCAATTAGACAAAAAAAAAGAAAAACATGAGTGACCATGGAGTATATAACAAGGACCAAACTTCATATTATTACATAAGCTATTTCTGATCATCTGCAGTTGCTAGAACTGGAATTACTTTCAAACAGACATTCTAACTCTCATTTTCAATTAAAAAAAAAATTAGCTAACGCTTCCTCCTTATGCTGCACATAATATTCAAGCAGCAAAGAGGAAGTGTTTTTTAACTTAACCATGACACTTGTACAGACTTCGTTAGAATTTTAAAAATTCGGTACTTTTTAAAGTTTTTCAAATAACAATTCAAATTCAAATTAAGAACAAGAAATATGATATAATCAAAAACTTACTTCTCGAGCATCCTCACCACCGTGAGCTGAATCGACACTTCGTTGATTCGATATATGTTTCAGTGGTTCCACATGTAGTGTTTTGTTGCAAGCAGGTGTGGTAGTAGATGATGAATTAATAAATAAAGTAGCAGACTGGACACTGGTGTTGACTGGTGGTGAATAAAGTGAATGTTTCGAAAAATCTGGTGAAGATTGCCTTGCACGATTATCTCTCACTACAGAAGAGATTGCAGACACAGATGAGTTATTCGTTGGTGAAGAAACTGATGGAAGAGATGGTGGAGGTATATCTTCTGTAAAAACTATTTTCGTTTCCTATTGCAAAAATGTTTCGCATACTTTTGAGATAATAACTATTTTAAGCTAAAAATAAAATTGGATTTCGTATAAGCTTTGCAGTTTTAATTGCCTTTGCATAAATTAGAAGCATTGCCCATTAAAGACCACTTGTATTTGAGACAGATGAAAATTAGTTCTTTGTAGAGGCTTACGGTAGCTATCCAAAAATCTAAATCCCATATAAAACTTTCTTCAAAGTATGCAAAAAGCAACCTTTTGTAGAAATTGAATCCAAATCGCGACCTTCCCCCATGGTATCCAAAAATAACACTGAATTCCCCTCATCTCTAAGCAGCTTGTTTGCAATTTTACGATCTCTTTCTAAACGATTTATTTCATTCGTTACATCGTCCAGAAGTGAAGTTATTGGAGTCGATTCAGCAGTACATTGCACTGATATCGTTTGTACAGAGTCATTCATTTCTCGTCGTTTCTGTCGTTTAGCTCGTCGCTGTCGTGATTCCATACATTTCTAAAATCTACGTCATTTATTAAAACAAGGATGCAAGAAAGAGCAAATTTGATATGATTCATACAAAGGCATTAACAATATAACATCAAATACCTGTTCCAAAAGTGCTTCTGCACTAAAAGCTTGGGTTCCTTGGATTCCTGTGGTCTTATCCTCAATATCGTTAACGGAAACTTTGTCATTTGAATCACCGCTTAAACTTTCGCTTCGACGCTTTTTTTTTTCCAGAACTGAAATCACTTCAGCATAAAATACTGTTCAGTATAAGATAGTAAAATAATGTAATGCAAATAAACAGCATGAACTTGTATTTAACTGAAGGGGAACTTACTTTGCCCCGAATCTTTATCCATTCCATTTAAACGTAAACTCAACGTTGTCGAATATCTTTCTGAAATTCTTACATATTAAAATCATTTGCAACGAAATTTCACGGAAAAAATACATTATATATGGAAGTCTAAAATAGTACTATGGAAATAATTGAAACTATAAACTACTGTAAATGAAAATTAAAACGAAAACCTCGTGCACGAGACTGTGGAGTTTTCAAACCCGTAGTCACGCTATTTGGCTGATTACGTTTCAAAAGTGTACTAGTTTTTACGGGTGCGGTATGGCGACGGTGAATACGATCTATAACTCTACCAGCCGAATAACCTTCTAGGAATGATTGAGCTGAATCAGCAATCTAAATGGAAAAACCATATAGCTTAAAGTATAGAAAATTTAAAAATACATCTCCAAATTTTGCGTGCTATTTCATTTTCGAAATCCATTTATTGCTGCCTACCTTAACTGACTGAATTAGCTTCTTGGAAGAATTTCGCTTGATAATCGTTGATACTGCCAATTTTTCATCCGAGTCTTTATACTTCAAAAATGCTTCACCGATATTTTTGCTGAAACAGCATCGTGAAACAAAATTAAGATCCTGACAACTTTATTCTAATGGATTTTAAACAAGAATTAGAAAGACTTCATTCATCGGAACTTGATTCAGAATAAAGAAATTAGTGAGGTAATTCCAAAATAAGCAGACACAGAAAAATTGGATAACATGACCAAAGATAAAAGCGAAAAAAGGGAAGATGGTTCTATTAGCATGTTTTTGATATTTTTTAAATTAACTTTCTTTGTTGTCAATTATCTCTTCGAGGTGATGCAGTAACATCTGACGTAGCTTCACGATGACGTCTTGATAGAAGTGAATAAATAGCACAGAGCATGGAGATTTTTTTTAAATCAATGTAGTCTATATGAAAGCAGATTAAATCGCATAGTAAAAAACAAAAGAGATTAGCAAATTCGAATCAGAAAAGGTCTTATTTATTTGTGTTCCCCGAGGTTGAATCAAACTTACCGTTCAACGTAAATTTTACAATCGATAACTTTACGATGCTCAAAGCAATATGCAGAATATATATTTAACTAACGTCGTCATTTCGATAGGTTCAAAAGCGGGTGAAGCAGGCATCATATTAGCCTCGTTCAGCTCTTTGATAACTTTGTATTTCTCCATCGCTTTGCTTCGTGAATTTGTGTTGGATTTGCGTGGTGATTCACGACGTGAGCGATGTCTCGAACTTTTTGTCGGAATTGAAACCGCATCATTTTTTCTACTCGATACAGCACAATCATTAGCTTCCACCAAAGTCGTCTGCGAAAGTTGCCCAACTATTCTGAAATATAATAGTACATTGATGGATTTTTAAGTTATCCATATAAAATAGTTAAGTCACACTGAAAACCAACTTTTGAGGGGAAGAGATAATCGATGGTGATTTCACATTCATGCTTAATTCGCTACTTTCCGATAGTAATTCTTTATTTTCAAATCTCATTCTGGAAGCATGTTGAGCAGCATCGCAAGTGTCAGCATAGTTACGAACACAAAATTTGGGCGTCGTATCATTCAGTCCAGCTAAAAGCATTTATAAGACGAAGAGGAAAATCATGTAGAAAGAAGCAAATTTACATACGGTTAATTCTGACTGCTTAAAGGTTTCTAAATTCATCAAAAGTCAGGAATATATTTTAGTGCGAAGACACATTTATTGTCAAATACCTAATTCAAAACATTAGAGTCGCACTCACTCATATTTCCTCTCAGAGATTCATCATCAGTTATATCGCCTGCTGAACAACGCCGTCGTGTTGATGCAACTGGAGACAGCCCACGGCGTAAAACTTTATTTGAAATATTTGAGAAAAAGTCACGAACTGTAGATGATGAACGCCGTTCGTGTGGTGTTTTGTTCTTAAAAAATAAAATAAATTTTCAAAAAGTTGCATCCTTAAGTCTTACCCAACGCAATATTTCAAAAACAACCTTGTACCGTTCAGCAAACTTCCCTGATGGTTGTTTCTCTAGCTTTTTTTCCTTTCGGGTTTCAGTTTTCTGCTTAACTGATGCAGTAGAAGCTGTATTTCTGAAATTTTTGACTTAGAAAATTAAAAAGATATAAATTCAACAAAACAAAAAGAAAAAGAATTCAGATATTCGTACGATATTAATAGAATGTTTAGAAATATACATATAACAAAAAAATGTTATTTACCATTCTCTTCTAATAATCAAAAAAATAAATAAATAAAATAACCCGACCTGGATGATGGCTTGGCAGAAACACTGCGCATTCCAACGTATCCCATGAATTTTCCTTTAAAAATTTTTTGCGAAACATCGGAAGGACGACGTGATGCCAAATAGTAGTCACGTGGCACACCAATTTTATGTGCATTATCAATCAGATCAATGATAATTGCAATGCGAAGCTCATTTTCATTTCGTACATTCGAAATCAAATCTTCCTGAAGGCGTGTGGCTGATTTTGTACCTTAGTCGATTATCATCAGTAATGGAATAAATATGAATGGTATTTACAATGTCTTCTCGAAATGACAGAAAGGAAGAAAAAGAACATGCTTGAGATCCTCTCTTTCTTTTATTGGATGAAAGTGGTGGATCGTCTCGGAAAAGGGATGGTGCAAAAACGCGCGCAATATTTTCAACAGTCATTTGATGACCCTCATGTCGATCTCCAAACTGAAATCTTCCGATAAAAGTGGGTTCAGAATTTCCTTGTTTCGTGAAACAGACTATAAATTGAAATACCAAAGATCAAAATTTAAATAAATTACAACTACAACCCATTTTTGGCCAAAACACTAACGTCAAATCAAATTTTAAGTTGGAATTTGCCAATATTTAGCCATAATACAAAATCTTCTACTAATTTCAAAGATTTTCTTTTTTGTTCAAAATAAGAAGCAAATAATGCCAACATATTTAAGTTGTCGCATCAAAAAAGTTAATGTTGCCAGATGTTCCGTAGGCAACATTCTTACAATCTCCAGAAGTTTGTCGATACGCCGAACTCCATCATAAATTGATACAGCCTATAAAATTTGGAAATTTTTTTAGAAAATAATGAAAACTTATTGCTGCATACAATAAATACTTAGTAGATATACGAACACTACGGATATGACCAGAAAACAATTGCAGATTTTTATGGCAAATGTTTCTTACACTCATTTCGTATCACTTTTTTTTCTCAAACTTACATCCAGCAGTTGTCTTTGCATCTGAGCAAAGAGAGGTATCTTTAATTCTCGAAAAAATCGTTTAATGAGTGAACACACATCATGCGTGGTACAATCTTCCGGTAAAATTATGCTACCAAAAAATGTTTGCATCTAAAAATTATAAATTGAAAAACATCCATTTTCCACAACAGATAAATTATAATTTAATTCCACCGGTGATACATTCTAATATGAAACCTGTAATATTTAGAAACATACCGAAAAAGATTTAAGTCGGCTAATATTCCCTTCTTTCCGAAAAATACCACTAGCATCGAGACCGTTAAGACGAAGGAAATTGAATGCATCGACAAGGAAACTTAAAATTTAATGAATTATTCAGTGAAGAATAAAAGACAAACTTGAAATCTATCAGTTCTAAGAAAAAAAAAGGAATAAAAATTGACATACACAGGGACTCCGCGTAAAGTGAAAGTACTAAATCCACGCCTATCTCCAATGTCTAATTCCATAGTATAACTTGCAACATTTTCCAGCCTTAATATATATATGAGAATAAGAAGTGAAAATTAAATTATTAACAACCCCAACTTTTAATTTCATAAATTTTAATTTAATATCATTCCAGAAATATCTTACTTAGAAACTTGAAATGAACTAACGTAAATTGCTGTGGCCCGGAAGTAGTAGGCAATGTATTAGCTTGGCGATACAAACGCATACTCCGTAAACCATCCAGATATTTGTCCATAACTGTGATATGCACAACTGCAGTACGATTTCCCCAAATCGAATTGCTGCTCTTTTTTTTGCACCTCGCCAGGTCAACAAACTTTCTCACAAACACTATAGTTTCTAATAACAAACTGTTTGTAAATTTTCCAATTCATGAACACTATAAAAGTAACATTTTAATACTCGAGAAAGATTAACAAATACACCCTTCCTAAACAAGAATAAAGTTCTGTTTCTTACGTAGTCAATTATTGGTATATTCAAAATGAAGACAAATAATTGGAAGAAAATCAAAATGCAGTTAGAAATGAGATGACCGTTTACCTGATTGTTCAAATTTCACAACAAAGGATTGTATATGTTTTAAAATTATGCATCTAATTTGGGTAAAAATTTGTTTAAAATAAAGATCAACAAAAATTATAACATCTTGCTACGAACGAATATCAAATAAGTAAAAGGACACTACAGTAACAATCAAATTTTTGATATTTAGAAAATTATTTAGAATAATTTATAGTGCTCACTAGTCGTGTTTCCTTTTAAAATGATGTCATGTGAACTAGACATTTAGAAGTAATGCTCAAGCTATTTAAATATGCAAATTTATTTATGAAAAACGACGATCAGCCACTTAGAAGCAGTCTTTAGAAGCAGTACAGGGTATCTATTTGGTGTACGCGAGATTAATGCTTTCATTTTAATTTCTGATGTCATCATTCTGTAACTGTTATCTTCCGTTTCATAATATCAAAAGGAATCTCAACAACAACAGTGGCAGTAATAAAATATCGCATAAAATGAGTCATGTATAATGCTGTGTTTCCAAGGACAAGAGTCCGAAAAAAAAACTTTGAATTATCTTCCTTCCTCCTCTAATGACTTATAAAATGATGAGATGTGCTAAATAAATACGTCAATTACATTAACTAATAGATAAGACTTGTTACTGTAATACTTATGCTTTAGATAGAAGACCAGTGTAAAGCCAATAATTAATGAAAACTGACATCAACGTTCATTGATAAACTAGTGACATCCTAGTAGTGTCATACTCATATAACTGTAGCCTATAAGAATATGTAGTCTTCGTTCTTCAATATGTTAAGAATAGCAGAGAAGGAACAGAGAGTTACGGAGTCAAAATGAAATAGTTAGCAAAAGATTTTATTGTTTAAACATTATCTCTGAAGAGCAAGTTCTTCGAGAATATCACATGCAAGAACTAGAAAGTTTATTTTACTAATTCAACAACACAACAGTGCAACTCATCTCGTCTCCTTTCATATCTTCATCACATCAAAGATTCATGTAAATTTACTCCAAAAAACGAATCAAAACAATGGTAACAACATCTCAAACGTCACCACAACGTACAATCCGCACGCATTACCAACCAGTTTTAAACAAAAAAATTCGAAAATCCCGCGAAGATAAATTTGAAAAAGCAAAATATAACAGCTATATGTCGACCAATCACTGTATTGCGTGGTGCGTATGACGTGGACTTAATGAAACGATATTTGACGTGGCAAGTGGAGTGGTGCAGGACTGATGTAAAGGGATTGACTGAGTGACGCAAGTGGGAGAATTTTTCATGTAAAACTCGAGAAATGATAATTTTTGAATCAGTGTTCTTTTTTTCAAGTTCTGAAATGTTTCATAGACATTGTCTTATTGCAATTTAGGAAATAGTCGAGTGAGGGGAAAAGATTACTTCCCGAATTAATTTAAATGTGAATGGAAGGAATATTTATATATATTTAAAATTTTCATGCTCGTTGGTTCATCCTTGTTTGATGAACAACATATCATCCAACAAATGAATTACAATGGACAGAAGATGACAGTTGAGGATAGCCAGCGTCCATCCGTTATCTTCTTTTCTTTTTTAATGAACTTGTTCCTCCAAAACTTACTTATCTCTCTTCCCTCTTTCTTTGTCCTCCTTTTCTCTCTCTCTTTCTTTTTGTCTTATCCTCAATAAAATTTTAATTACCATTTGTTGTTTCAAGTGTCGATGGTAAAAATTTTCTACTATGGTTGGATATGATTATACATTAGAAATGTCAGCCTTGCCTACCTGAAGTGATCCCTCGAGTGCAAGTAAGTTTCGTTTCGAAGACGCAAAAAGGATGAAACTGTTTTAGAAGAAGTGTAGTGATATCTAAAATTCTCATTTTTCATGCTTAGCTTAAGGGAATGAACATCAGTTGCTGGGTAATTTACCAATAAAATGGATTGGTAGGTAATTAATGAATATTAATGAATAAAATCCAAATTGATAATTTCTTCGTCGAAATGAAAATGATGATAAAATACAATGTGAAAGCTGCAATGGGGCTTCTCAAAAAAAATTTAAATTCCAGGTAAAATCTCAACGCTTATTCCCAAAAGAGAGAATTAACATGTAAGAAAATCAATGAAGGAAAAAAGGAAATGAGTCATCAAAAATTAAATTTTTTTTCACGAGAGAAACATTCTCACCCACTGAAAATATCTTTATATATTCTAATCTCTAACTCTTTCAATGCATTTTTTTGCAGATATTTGATAAAGGTAAGACTTTTTTGAATGAGACATTCCTATCATTTCTTCATTTATCTATTATATCAAAAACAAGATTAAGTAACAAAAAGAAAATAAAAATTAGTTGTGAGGAGTTATGTTTACTTTTTTGATTATGAATGTTTGTGAACATTGTGCTAAATACGCCTTCTTGACTTATGTAGTGTTAATATAAGACTATCCATATACATTTGTGACCATCATAACGCATTTCTGACCTTTCTTCATTACATGTTTAAGGATACTTTAGTATAGGCAGTTGTCTAGTCCTACTAATACTATCTCTTATGGCCAATGTTTGTAATTGATCCCACTTAATGATAATAGTATCGGATTGTTCATTGCAAATATAAAAATGATCTATTAACTTTTAAACTGGCAAAAAAAAAGGACTAATTTATCTTACCTGTTTATTGGACCTCATAAATGAATTCTTTAATTTGTCTGTTTATATCTGTTAATTTAATTGAAAAAATGCAGCCTAAGTTTTTGATTTCTTTTTTCTAGTTTCATATTTTCAGAAACACCTCAAAGTGTAAAAAAGTGAAAGAAAAAACATAATTTTCCACCAGAAAATGCATTTTCTACCTCAGTAATAATCAGTTGAGTGTAAAATGTATTCGAAATTTCAATTTTTCTTTTTTAAGGTAAAGTTTATGAAAATTTATCATATATAAGAAAATTTTTGCAATGAAAGATTTGTTTGCAAGCGATGTGTCTTTTTTTTCTATCTTTTCTTAAATTCATGTCTTGCTGGAAGAGAGAAAGAGAAAGATTCGAAATTTCATGATAAATCGAAGAAGGTAAAGTCAACCTGAAGCAACTTATCAGATCTCTTCTTCTTTTAAAAGCATGTTATTGATCTTTAGAATCATTCATACAGCAAGTAAGCTAGTTTCTTTCTTGAAATATTACAGAAAAATTGGGTTTATTGGTAAGCCATGAACAATCATTCACAAACAAACAGTTATGGATATCACTCAAGAATCAATATTACAAGTAATTAATAAAATTATAAGTAATTTATTATAAATAACTAATAAAAAACATTATAAGCAATTGATTAATACCGGATTTAGCGAAATCCAGTTTTTTTTTTTTTTCTTTTTTTGAATCCAAAACAGCCGAATTTAGTAGACTCTGAATATTGCTTTAGCCAAGTTGGTGATAGAATTAAATATTGAAGTGTGTTAGTAAAATAAGCTAGAAGAATGAGAAATTTAAAAGATTGAAAAAATATACAGAAAAACATGGAAATAATTTAAATTTACTGCAAACATTCAGAATTAAAACTTTAACAAAAGAAATTAATTAATCTCTACTTTATGAATGTCATTTTTATGTAATTTCTCAATTAAGTTGAAACTCTTGTCACTTTCTCATTCAATTGTAATAAATAATATAAAAATAATAATAATAAATCATAAATAAATTAAAAAATTGGTAACGGTAGAGTGGAAAGGTTAAGAAAAAAACAGTACTTACTTTATTAAAATTTTCTATAGTAAAGAAGGCATCGGATGAAAAATAGTTATTGAGATTTTGTAAATTTTTGACAAGATGATCTTTTTTTAATTGGAAAAAAAAACTGTAATGCAAGTATTCATCATAACATTGTAAAGAAGTGGAAGACATTCACTTATGATAAAATTTAATAAATTTCTAATAGTCGATTAGTCTAATTCCAGAACTTTCAATAAAATTAATTTTTTGATAAAAAAGAACCATTTACATTATTATCTTCTTTAATGTGTCAAATGAATGATTTCTATTATTTATCTTATAATGAGACTTAACTAATATTTGAAAATTTTTTGTTGTTATTAAAATTTTATTTATCAAGTTAAGATGTCAAGAAATTATTACGAAAAAACTGGAAAGAAATTGTAATGCAGTCATTTATTATTGTGCAAATCACAGTGGTTTAATTAGTTAAGAATTGAAATTTACAGTTCAGTTTGTTTGGAGAAGTATTAAGACATAAGACTGTTGCTAAAATAGCAGTTATGCTTTTTATCATTAGCGCTTTAAAAATTTGATTTTTGCTTACTTCAATGTACAAGAAAGTTGCTATGAACTTTTAAACTCGTTCGACCAGTGGTCATCGTAAGCCATTAATGAAAAACTCTTGGATTCAATAAATTTCAAAAAACCTCAAAGAATATCAGAATATTAGTTGGAAATAAAAAAAAAAAAAAAAAAAAAAGAAAAAAAAAACAATTAACAGCACGAAACAGTAACAATATTTGACAGAAACAAAACACAACTTTTCGAAAGTTATCCTACTGATCTAAAATTAATTTTGTTAAGCTTACAATTAAAGTTACGAAAAAATAGGCTCTAGTTTTTAAATAAAATAAGATAAAATTATCTTTGTCGAATTATTTTATTTTGAGGGAGATTTTTTAATTATTTAATAATGAGCAAACCCTGACTTTTATTTTAAAA